GAAATCGCAAACTCTGTCCTAAATCCGCAACAATATGAAAACATCGCCAGTCTCTCTGCTTCTTGAGCCTGCAGGTTTGTGGAACTTAGTGTTCCTCCACTCCTGTTGTTCTCATTCGGGGTGTAAGGCTTTGGTTTTGGGCTTGATGACTGTCGACCGAAACTTGCCGGGACAGGCGCCAAGAAGTGAAATGTCTCTTTTGGTAGCTGCGACCGATGCGCATTCCGAGGCTCCCGGCTTAAGCAGGTCGCAACGACCTACGTCTCGAAGATGGCCCTGTAGACCTCTCCAGGGCTGACAGTTCAAGGTTTACAGGTTGAGAACACTGCGCTTTTGCTGAAAGGCTTGGTGCATCAAGCCTAGATCTGTAAATGATTAGTGTAAGGTCTAGGACTCATGTGTAAGAATGGATCCGTCCCAAGTCGTCGTCGAGGCAGTGGTGGTAGAAGTGGAGGTGGTAGTAATATTTTTTGTGATGACGGCGGCACTGGTGGCGAAGATTATAGCGCTGATAGCAGCAGCCATTTAGCAGTCAGTTAAACGTGTTGGTGGAAACAGCAGCAGTAGCAGAGGCAGTGGAAGCAGTCGCAGTCGTCGTGGTAGTAGGGCTATTGCTGTGAAGTAGTTGTAAAAGTGGTCGTGGTAGCGGCAGTTGTCGCAGCAGCGGCAGAAATAATAGCAGTCAATAATAGCGACAGAACAATACTAGTAGTGGCAATAGTAGCGGCAGTCGTCGCAGTCGTAGTAGCAGTAGTAGTAGAAGTCGTAGTCGTAGTAGTAGTAGCAGCAGTAGTAGCAGTCATTGTCGTGAGAGTACACATAGAAGAGGTGGTATAGCAGTAGCAATACGAATAACGACAACTCATGATCCTGGTTATCGTCGTCGAAATCGTTGTTGCTGTCGTCGCTGTCGCCGTCGGTGCATTAGTAGTCGTCGTTGTGGTAATTGAACTCATAGCTGGTGTCATCATGTGGTTTCTGATTAGCAACAACAGCTGTGGTCATCGCCGCCGTCGTCAACGTCGTTTGTCTCTGTTGTTATCTTTCATATCTATTCATGTTCTAGTTCCCGATAATCCACTGCTGCTACTCGTTATCACATGTATTTCCCCTCTCGCTCGTGCTGTTTTGGTTGCTGCCACCAATTTTGCAATCCAATTGCGACCAGCGTTTGTGGCTAAGATTGTGACCATGACCACACATGTGGCGGAATATCATACTATGGCTACCGAACATAGATTCCGGCTGCGGTTGCGATGTCAGCGTGGACTACAACGAAGGCGATGAACATAATCTCATCATCTGGTGCTTTTGGTGTTCTGGACAGGATCAGCTTGACTTGGAATTGCTAATGTCGTCACCCCTGCTTTATGACGTCGCTTATTGATCTCGACAGTCTCGTGGCGATTAACGGCAAGACGTTGCCTGCGTGTATATATATATATATATATTATGCTGCTACACGTTGAAAGAACGGCTTTGGATCCGTTTGTTCTCGCAGCATGGCCACGATTCGACTTGGTTGCTTTCCTCGGCTAGGATGCAAACCTGCCTGATAAACCCAGTCGCAACTTGGGTCTGGGTTTGGGCTTCTCCAAACGACAATTCTTGCACGGTTGCCTTCTCCACCTTGTCGCCACCATCCATGGTATCCAGGATGTCCTGAAAGCAAGGTGAGCCCTGGAACTGTCTGATTTCCGCGCGGAGATCATGCGTTGGAGCCTTTTCACATGGAGCTGGACATGAGACTTTCGAGCTTCAACGGACCGATCGCTATTGCAGGATACGACCGAAGAGGCTTGCGCTTTGAAGATCTGTGGAGCTGCAAGTCTCGTTATCCCCGAATGAGAAGTTTTAAGCTTGACTTCTCCTCACGACCCGTCCTCAAACCCTCAAAGCGAACCCCGCACCTCTTGCCTCCTGAAGAACTCACAACGCTTTGCATTGAAGGGCTAGCCTTGCGCAGTCGGTGACGCAGGCAGAGCGTGATGACCTCCAAAACGACCCAAGGGGAAATATAGGGTTCGGAGCGACAAGTGGCAGAGACGGCATGAGATTATGCAGACAAAGGCAGTCATATATAGTTGTTGTAGCAAGTGCCGTCGTCTTAACCGTGCAAGCGACAAATTTGTTGTTGTGTTTTCTGTGCAGTCCGCAGCAGTTTAACATGCGTGATTCTGGTGTAACACTCTGGTATGGCTACCTTTTGTAACTATCCTCTGCTTCCCCTGTCCTTGTGAACACATGTTCTTCTTGTGCTAGATGGTAACTAGTGGTGGTGCTGGTGCCTGCAGTGTACTTGTGCAGCTGTTGTTGTCGCGATTTTGGTGATGTTGTGGCTGTTGTTGTGGTTCAGCGACTTGTGCTCGTGATTGTGATTTTGGCGGTGTTGGCATCATCAATGTTGGTGAGGGCGGCAGTCGCTTTTTCTGTCATTGCGGCGGTTGTCGTTTGCTGCTGCACGAGTCACTGTTGTCGTCGCTCTGTTCGTTGATTGTATATTTGTCACGGTTGCTGCCGATGGAGTTATGTTCGTCACGAAGATGTCATTGCTGCGCCTGTTTCGCTTGTCGAATTTACCTATGCTGCATTTGGTGTTGCTGTTGCTATAGTGCTGTGGTACGGAGCATTCGAGCTTTGGCTGTTGCCTGCGCCACAAATGTTATTGCACCCGGTCCTCAGTGACCGCTCTCTTTCGATTCTCCTGAAATTAATTGCCACTCCTGCTGGCTGATGACCATGTCTGTTGCGATTTCATACGTCCACAGTCCCTGTTGATGCTAGGACTCTTGATCCTGAGGTCTTGGTGCTCTCCGTTGTCGAATGCTCTGGCCTTTAGCAAGTCCAGCACCGTGAAAATCTTGCTTCCCGTCATGGCGACCTTCTCAGAAGCAGTATCCCAGCAAACCATCCTGAGCCTTTATCGTGAAACCAACCCTCCACGTAAGACTTTCCCTGGAGATGGCGCCTTGCCCACGTCATCCGAAGTCACCTCTGTTCGTCCGTCGAAAGAGCAATAGGCCCGGGCAGCACGGTTCGTAACCTCGTTGGCAGGGCTGGGGGTTAAAAGCCTTCCTGGCGTGCGATGCATTCAAACTCGCGGCGACCACCATAGCAGCATACGACATTCTGCGTGGGCAAACAGCACGAAAATCAACAGGTTGCAGAATATCGAGTGCAGCAGCCCGCTGTCGGCGCAGTACCGACAACAAGCACATACATCGCGAACATTTTGGAGGAAATCGGTGCGCCTTCAGAGAATAACACCAGCCCCACAACAATCAGAATCGCTACAATGACCTCAATGTGGAACTGGGGCTGTAGAACATCAATCTGCTTTGGCAGCTGAAATACAGAACACCTAGAGAGTGGCTGTAGGAAGTACGGAGCAATTTGCCATGCTGGAAAAGACTCTCAGGCTATTCGTGGCTGAAGTACTCGTGGCGATGATGAGGGCAATACCTATGGCGGGTCGGCAGGGAGCAGTGATTCTGGACACTAGTCATACTCCCAAGTGCCAATAACAATCATCAGGGACCGGAAGCAACAGCAGGTGCATTCCCATGAGGAATAACAAGCAAGAACAGTGCAAATGCTGTAGGACAAACGGAAAGGAATAACGGCATTGGCAGGATACCGTCGTACAGTCGCAAACAGCAAGATTGCAGTGAAACTGGCAGCCGCAATCAGGGTGTCAGCAAAGCTGTACCAGACATACCGGCTGCAAGGGAGACTATTTCTGTGATCACCGGGGGAACGGCAAATGCCGTGGTAGTACTGATTGAAAGTATGTAACAACTGCAGTACTAAGTCACTAAGTAGAGATGTAGTGATGCAGCGGTCAAAGTAGAAGATCAGCAGTAATAACCACAACCAGGATCGCAATAATGACAGTCGTAGCATCAGCGCAGGAGCGAGCAGATCCTAGCCAGTGGAAAGCATAATGCGACAAGCGAAGAATTGCAATGGTTGCAAGCATGTTGGCTCAAGTTCGGAGAAAAAACCATCATAAACCCCGGAAGGCCCTCTTCCACACATAAAGCGTCCTTGATCTTGGACCCGTATAGCAATCCTCGTAAAGCCCTCAAAAGGATCCTAATGAAATTTCCAAGGCCCCCATGCCACAAGCTTGGGGGATTTCGAACTGCAATCTGCGACCGGGAAGCGATGTCCCCTCGAAGTCCATCGATGTTGAGCTCACTGCAGACCTTTTCCAAAGATATACACATACTGTAATTAATGTGTAAAGTTCAAGATGCACTAGTCATGTCCTCAACTTCATGTTACAGTTATTTCGTCCTTTTCTGCTTTGAGGTTTCTGAGGCCGACAGGGCAAGCTTGGGTTATCCATCGGGGATCCGTGTTCGGTGTTCGACTCAACCAGGATTCGGATCCGAATTGCTATGGGTGATTACCATACATATACCGATGTAAACTATAGCGCAGCTTTGTGAGCACAAAATCGGTTTCTGCTGAGTTGTACACACGGAAATCAATTTAAGGAGTTTGTGTGGAAACCCTTGGTATGTGACACAATGCAATGTAGTGCAGGGTAGTGTGCTGTAGATGTGCATCAATGCATTGCAATGTCGTGCAAGGTAGCAGCTAGTCGCAACACAATGTAATGCAGTGCAATGCCATCGCGTTGTAATGCTAGTAGTTCCAGGCGATGCAGTTTCACACCATCGCACGTCAAGCAACATCATGCAGCGCAATGCAATGCAATGACAGGCAGTGCAATTTCTCCAGCATGATGCAGTGTAATGCAATGTGATGTCGGGAACTGCCAGGTGACCTTGTGCTACACCATTTAGCATCATGTAGCGCCATGGGAGTTCGCTGCAATGCTGCTGCAATTCGGCTTGGTCCAGTTTCATGTGATATCGGCAAGTCGTGACATTTTTTGCGGAGTGGATGCCTCCTTTGTAAGTGATGCGACGAAAGAACGCGACTACGACGCACTTCAGACAGATCGTTGTTGGTTCAGCGGTTGAGCACGGCCCTGCTGGACAGCAAGAAAAGTAACTAGCTCAAGGACAGCAGTACGGATACCTGCACAGAGCATTTGTTTCATTGCAAGTGCATGTAAACCCTGCGCGAGCGCAGAAGTGTACCAAAGCCAAGCTTGCAGGAATCCTGGAAGTCTGTGCAGAGCTCTGTTTGAGCCTTGAAAGCCTTGTAAATGCATCTCAAAGCATATATGCTTCGACAATCTTCGACAACAGAAGCCTTGCATGGATCTACCAAAATCATTCCTTTCACCCAAAACCTTGTCCTTCCCAACAAGTCCAACACGAGACCTGAATTGGAAGCTCAGCAGACACGCGTGGTTCCCGGACAGCTCGTTTTTGGAAAGAGGGTATCTAGGAAACCCTATGAAAGTAAACCATACATGCTCCTCGGTTAGGGGGTGAGGGGAGGGGAGGGTAGGGGAAGGAAAGGATGTCACAACTAGATTCGGCAGCATCGTAACTCCTTGAATCTGAACAGCTGTTGATTGTGTGTGTTGGATATGTGTATACAAACAAACGCGAATGAATGCATCACTCTATGTAACATATATGATCCCGATTCTCGGTTCGCCGACCACCTTTTCAATGGTATCCCCCCCACCCACCCACTCCCCAAGCCGAATCTGTGTCACTGTAAGTACGTATGTAAGTACGTATGCATGCACATATGTATACATGTATGTATGTATGTACGTACATGTAAACACGCATGCATGAATACATATATGTCTGTATATGTACATATATATATATATATACGTATGTATGTATGTCTGCGCATCTATACATGGCCTTCTACGATACTCCACAAGTTCATCTTATAGTTTTCATGTTGTTTTGTATTACTCTTGTAGACTCCTAGGAACCCCGTCGGCATGGCATGTGCTGCGCCTCAGAGATCTTGCGGGCGAGCTCCGGAGGTGTCTTCACCTCCAAGCAGCGTTGAGCTGTGAGCTTCAGTCCGGTGTGCGCAGAACTTGGGGTTTGAGGCTTAGGAAGTTTAGGAGTTTAGGAAGATTTCTTGTTGTGAGCCCCTGCTACACATACATAGGTATAAAAGTGTATACACCAACTTCAAAGTGCGTGACTTAGGGGGCTTCCCCAATCTCCATGGCAAGGAGAGCAAAAGTTGCTCAGCACCACAGCATAGGTCATAGGTATATGATCATGCTACAAGTGTCCCTTAAAAACTGCTCTCTCTGCGTCTCTTCCGCTCGCCTTTGCAGATTGGGCGAGGGTGGGGAGTGTGGCTCTTGTATTGCGCAGTGCAACCTTTCGCCCTGCATCGGATCTGCTGGAGCCTGAACTTCAGATGGCTTGTTCAACCAGTCTACGCTGCAGGAGCTTCACAGCCCCGTGCACAAGCCACAAGCAGCCGCAGCGCCTCCTTGAGACGTGACTGCGCCTGGCGCAATGAACGCTCGGTCGGAGACCAATGCCCGGACCAAAATCCACTTGATGCATCAGCGGAGTAAGTAAGGTTTTAAGCATCTTAATTGGGGCTACGAGTAGTAATGACTGTAGTCACCCCATGACCCCAGGTACTCAGTCAAATGATCCTTCAAGCACATCCCACGAGGCCTCCAGGATGGAGGTGGCAAACTCGCTGTTGTCACCGGTAAACTTCTCTCTGAATCCCTCGGCAGGAGAGATCTGTAGAAAGGTCTTCGGGGTCTATGGCACGGAGACCTGAACTGAAATCTTTGAGAAAGTGCTGTGGCTTAGAAGGAGCCGAATCGCCTTTGGAGCTTTGGACTTCCCGGCCAGATTATCTATATATATAAGATATATAAGACATATAAGATATATAAAACGTATATCATATATAAGGTATATAAGATAGAAAAGATATATAAGACTGCTCGAACTGTTTGATGTTTCGGCTCCAGGCTCGAGGAGGAGATCCGAAGCTTACCCTGCCAATTCCTGACCTGAGTGCTCGACCACAGGATCGTCAGCGAACTCGCGGGTGCTTTCCTGCCACCACCACTCTCTCTCTCTCTCTCTCTCTCTCTCTGTCTCTCTTGAATCTTCAGGCCCCGTTGCGAACGGCATGCAACAAGACCTGGAATGCATCAAAACCGAAAAATGCGAAGTCCATCGATACCAGGGACACCTACATCCACTCTTACTGCCCTCTCACACATCTAGAATCTGATCTGTAATATCTTCAAGCCCCACGAGCAAGTGTCAAGACTACTTGAAATGGAAGTGCAGTGTCGCCCAGGCACCACAATCTTCACGCGGAGCTCGGGATCCCGCTCCGTCCTTGCTTCAGAGATGCTTGCAGTTGCAACTTCGTCCAGCCGTACGCACTCCAGAAACAGTGACAGTGCAGCTAGATTGCCAACGAGGACGAGAACAGAAACCAACAAGAACTACGACAACAGCGCTTAGAGGAGTAGGGATGGCATTGGTGGTGGTGGTGGTGATGGTGGTAGTGGTGGTGGTGGCGGTTATGATATTACTGGTAGTATGCTGCTGCAGGTAACACCAAAACCTGGTCCCCGGCCGGATCAGCGCGTGCATGCCGAAGCGGTCGAGCAGCTGTGGTCGGAGTTCACCTTCCTCAGGGTTTCCTGGCAACAAATGATACGGGCGGGAGGTTGGTCTTCACAGGGTATCAGTGAAGTCAGAACACAACAGCATGATAATGACACCGACCGATCAGGAGACATGGTATGTTGGAATAACTCCACGTACCGGTGGAACGGCGAAAGCTATGTGAATGCTGACGGAAATCGCTCTGGCAAAAACCCTAGCAACTAGCGCAGCACATTGAGCTATAGTTTGAAACTCAGCATCGATGATTCGACCAAGTTTTATTTAACATTTTCTCTGACTAAGGAAACGGAGGAACCTCAAGAATACGTTGAATACATGTGTCTTTGCTTCATGACAAGAATCAATGAACTAGATGTTCAACAGGATATGGTTGAACCTGGATTTCGGGCTCTAGGTTCGACGCTCCATTTGATTCAACACCTTTGCATCTTATTGACAAAACCCTTTCCTCAAGCAGTGTCAGTATTGACATGCTACCTTGGCATTATGAAATAGTCCTCTCTCCTGAAACTTTGAACATATGCAAACCACAGTCTTTAAAAGAAATCTGTGCCTCCTGAAGCATCAGTCTTGTACAGTTCCACGGCCAATGTCGTGCCGGGCCGGCCACTGCCAACGAGGATGAACTTGGCGGGGTGGCGGATACTGATGCCCTGGCATTGGAATCATTGCGGCCCAATGCTGTTTTGATCGAGCTCACGTCTACAACCGGGCAAGTAATGACAAGTGGAGTGAATAAGCGGTTAACAATTCGTCAAGAAATTAGTGTCGACACGATGATCGTCCCTCGCAATCCGCCTGGTTGCAACGTGTGCTGCGGAGTAGGATTGAGAGACTCATCAATTTTTATCAACAAGTCCAAATGAAGACACAGTCATACGGTGTCCTGAAGGACTATAGCCGGAATATTCTTGCTGAGCACTCCAATAAATAATAAACACATTCACGCGAAGCCTCACGCTCCACTGTATTCCAGCCGCCAGCAGCACTGTCCAGCAGCACATCAACGAGGTGATCGTCCAGCAGGTTCACCTCACCCACCCGCAGGCGTGAAAGTTCTTGCACAATTTACGATACCCTTATCTTACTCAGTCCACATGTTTCGCCTGGGCTGTGAGCTAAGCCAATGAAAGCCCGAAGACGAGGCCTCGTTTCTGGTTCATGGTGACCAGACTCTCCTCAACTCTCAACACTGAACCTGAGCCCTATGACAATGGCTCAGGAAGTGCGATACATCAAAAGGGAAGACGATGCAGTGCAGCCAAAGCCGAACGAACCTGCATAGACATTTTGGCAATCTGAGTACTTCCAGCCCCGATGTACAGCAACCTCTCGAACTTTGGGGTGCTGCAGGTAAAGTAGCAGCAGCAGCCGTCTTCGCATTATTGCTGCTGCACGTACTCATATTGGGGCACAGTGGATTTACTTGTGACTAAACATAACTAGTAGTTGTTCGTGGTTGCTAGCTCGTGACCCATAGTTCTTGTTACCCACCACCACGTCTTGGAATGCTGTAGGTAGTGTCATCTTTTATGGGCGGTCTCACCAGTCTGAGCCACAGCTTTATGATCACAACCAAAGAAAATCGACGGATACCGCACTCTCGTCACTGCGGTTGCCGCTGCAGTTGCAGCGACATCTCGATGATAATGGTGTTGATGGGTGGCGAGGATAACCATGACGATGACGGCGGTGAATCTGAAACTTGGCAAGCCTCTGAGCTCTGCACTTCCAATCTGCCTAGACTTCTAGACTTAGACCCGCGGCGAAGACTCGCCCCCCCCCACAAGGCCCGCCCAAGCGCCTCATCCACGTAGAGGATGCCGCGGTTGGCTTTCGCCAGAAGGCCCGGCTCAAAGGCCTGGGCATTCGGTTTTTGCGAGCTGCCCGCTTCTCAGACGGCGGGGGATACTTTTGGATACGAGGTGGGGCCCTCATGCTTCTCCTACCGTTCTGCACAACCTTGACAAACCTGGCGTGTCTTTTCCTTGAAGCACATTGGTCTGCAAGGCATCGACAACCATCGTCTGATTTTGGTTCCAGTGGTCGTCTGGATGGGTCTGTGTCGCATTGGATTGTGCAGCTTCCGGCAACAATGCTACGGACATAAGCGTGCAAAAGGCATACCCGGCATGAGAACATGAACCATCGATTGTTCGCGAAGACATCAAGACGGGCGTGTGCACGCGTGTGTCTGTTTTAGACACAAACACATGATCTAGTCGTCATTGTTGTTTACACACATACCTACATACGCACATTCAGACATACAGACAGACAGACCGACCAACCGACAGACCATCTTCCGTGAGCAGACCCTGCACTGGGCGCTGGCCTTCTTGCCCTGAGTGAGAGCCTTCTCGATGTCAATAGTGCCGCCTCGGCGATGCCCGGGCTCTTCTTGGGTTCTGGGTCCACAGCGCTTCGGGATTTGTGGATTCCAGGTGAGAGCGAGATGTCACAAAGTCCCCTCGCTCAGCCGACGAGCCGAGTCGAAGGTCGACTGGGCAGAGCTGGGCAGAGCGCAGACGCGGTCCTCTGTGGCTCCGAGGGGCAGGTCGATCCTTGGAGCTTCGTAAGGGGCTCTGTAAGGGGCAATGCCGCAAGTCTGCTGCGTTCAGGCGAAGTGCCTGTACACTGCTGGAGTCTCACAGGACAGCCCCAAAGCCTCAAACTACACTGAGAGCAAGACATGGGCACCTTCTTGTAATTCAAGGGCAGATCCTCCCCACCAACCTAGCCGAGGGGGAGTGCTCAACCCCAACTACCCAGACCCAACACCCATGAGAGACTCCAAAAGGGCCTGGAGAAGAGCTACTACCAGCACTGCTTGCCGTTCTGTGACACCATCTGGGATCGTGTGTGGTACTCATATGTTGTGTTGGTACTCAAAGTCCGAGCAATTGGAGTTGCAACAGCAAGCACAGCAGCAAAAGCTACAACCAGCAACCGCCAACAACCAACAGCAACAACAACGACGACGACAGCGGCAGCAAAACGGTGTGCAACCACAATTACAAAAGACAACCGGTCCGACACTAGCATGCAGCTTCACTGCGAAAGTTTCCAGCAGCTTACGTCAAAATCTCCTCGTTCGCTTGCAGTCGGATTAGGTACAAACAAGACGACGGACAAGTGCAGGAACAGCATATCTCCCAACAACTAACAACCAACGACAACTTCATAGTAATCACCTCAAGCAACATCATCACCAGCATCGTCATCGTCGTCTCTATCACAGCAAATGCCAACCATCATCCTCATCACCTTCAACCAGGTAATTATCATCGTTCTCCTCATCATGGTTGTCTGGTTCTTGCATGTGTCGTTTTCGTCATTAACGACATCATCATCGACACTATCACCGTCATTGTGTTCGCCATCTTTATCCTGCTCCCGGCATTCGCAGAAGCACCACCACCACCATCATCCAAGCCAAGGAGAAGGACGAGTTGATTTCCTCCGGTTTATGCTGAAGCTCACAGATTTCGGATGGTTGGGGATTTGCTGGGCTGTAGATACTGTAGATCAGGTGTGGCTCGTGCTTCTGGACTCCGACGTGGACTACATTCTCGAGAATGCAGAACTCATGCATTCTCCGAATCACCTCTGGCCAATGTCCTCAGGGCACAATCGCCTCTGCCGGAAGCCCTAGGCGTTTCGAATGCTTCCATCACGAGGCCCAGCCTTCCGATCACGGACCTCTTGGCTCATCACCTCCTCCTGGGTAAAGGGGATCTTTTCGTAAGGAACTTCACGTGTATTATTTCCATCATCGGAATCGTTCTAAGCGTGGGTATGATGTTGCCCTTACAATGATAACGAAGGTTGTTTCAAAAGAAGCTAGAAAAGGGGATGGGTAGGATCCGGCACCCTCCTTAGTATGAGTCCACCGACTTCAAGCGGCGACTTTATGACTCTGCAAGACTGGTGGCAGTTGTTTCGTCTGGTATGTTTATCTGTTTGCGGTTTCCTCGTTGCCATGAGCAATGGCAATGTCTCACCGTAAATAACTCAGATGTTTGAGGACGACGACCAAGCAAGCAGTTATCACCAGCATTCCCTGTTCTTTCAACGGGCTTAAGAAGGCAGCAGGCAGCCCTTCTCTCTCCATTTTTGTCCCTCCGTCTCACGTGATTTCAGGATGTCAGAATCGGAGCAGCTTCGCCCAGGGCAGCCAAAGGATCTCTCTTTCGCCTCGGAGCCCTGGAACCCGACCAAGGGCACAACCGCACCAAACTAATAAACCGAAACAACCAGGAACCAGCCAAAGGGATTTAGTCCACAGGCATATCGACAGCACTTATGAAGAATGTGAAATGCAGCCTTGCACCTAAAGGTTCGTCCTCGTCTGGCGAGGAGTTGTAGGGGTCATCCGCGACACAGGGAATCTCGGGGAGGAGGTCCACGAGGGCTGCAAAAGGGATCGGAGGTGCTAAGCACTTCGGCTTTCAGGGGCTTCAGGTTTTGTTTAGGGTCGCGAGGGTGTGAATGGTTCAGGTCTTCGGGCTTGAGGGCTGGGGCCTTGGTGGAGGGAGGATGGTCGAGGCATGAACGTGTCGGGCAGTAAAGGGAGCTCCCATTTGCTTTGCATGGCCACTGTCCCGCTGTTTAAGTCCTTTAGGCAATCAGTTCCTGCGAAGCAACTTGAGGATCCACCTCCGGATACCTTGTAAAAGTAGAACTCGAAACATCTAGCATGCAGGCCTCCATAGTTCGAGGAGAGTGTTGGTGGGTATGTTGCTATGTTAAAACTGAACTATATATGTATATGTTTCACATAGGAAGTGGTACAAACAAACTATACTACCAATTAGTGGGCTAGCAGCTATCACGGTTTTTGCAAGACCCCAGAATCAGTCCATGCCGACCATTCGGGTTGCGCACGGATCGCTAGCGACATGCTGGGAGCCGATAAAAAGAACAACAATCCCAATGCCCCTGGCCTCGAATGGTGGTCGTCTTTCCAGTTCCGCGGTCTCCCATGATCATCACCCCGCCAATCTGCGAGTCAGGCGACGCGCAGCAGGAACCAAGCACACGAACACTGTAGAACATCGTGGTTCAAGGGACCGATGCTACTGTTCATGCTGCTACAGTGGCTGCTACTACAGCTGCTTCTACACTGTTACTACAGTTGGTGCTACGACGACAGGGAGCGCAAACGAGGAGGCCAGGGACGAGGGCGGCTACTACTACGACAACGGCGACTGATGTTGTTGCTGCTACTGCTACTCGCTCTGCTGCTGCTGCTACTACTACTACTACTACTGCTACTACTACTACTACTACTGCTGCTACGACGACTACGACTACGACAATGGCGACGACGACGACTCCTACTGCTACTGCTACTGCTACTGCGACTGCTACTACTACTACTACTACTACTACTACTACTACTAATACTACTACTAGTACTACTACTACTACTACTACTACTACTACTACTACTACTACTACTAATACTACTACTGCTACTACTACGACTACGACTACGACTACGACTACAACAACTACTACTACTGCTGCTGCTGCTGCTACTACTGCTACTACATTACTACTAATTTACCACTGCATTACTATTGCATTATTACTGTAATACTACTGCACTACTACATCACCACTACTAACTACTACCCCACTACTCCTACGCCTACTACTGCTACTGCTACTGCTACGACTACGCTCCTGCATCAGCTCCGGCTGCTATGAGGGTTCCAAGAGAGGTCCATCCGGGACTTGCAGAGCAATGGGCACTTCAATTTTCAATGAAGACCTATCTGCAATCATTGCTATCATGTCCTTGGGTTTAGCATCTCTTCCTTCAGGATTGGGGTGCTGCAAGCTGTCAGAGCAGCTACGGAATCCCGTGTGGTACCAGGAACCCCACAACTCGAGCGTAGGAACGGAAACTGCTGTGCCGGGCAAGCCTTTGGGTCGATCACATTGAGGATCAGCGACAGCTTCATCTCCTTAAGGATGGAATTGCAGTCTTTGTCGCAGAGCAGGTTCTCTAGGCAACCAACCCACTTCTCGGCGAAACCATAGAGTCTAAACACGAACTACAGGCAAGCTCCGGTCTTGGTTGGATGCTTCAACCAGGGACACAAACAAAAGCATCCTGGCATCGCCACTAGATTCACCACATGTAATTGCTGACGATGACAACCCGCAGATCTACAGCACAAGCATTTCTGCGAGTCAGTCTCAGATCAGACAGCCTATGCAAATCGACGAAGCATGTACGCATCAAGGCCTTGCATGCTGTTTGAAACCTTCATTCACATCGAAGGCGTATCAACTGGGCAGCATGCAGCCTGTCCGACGATGGCAGAGAACGGAAAGACAGGCCTTCGCAAAACGCGGGGGGTTCAGTTTAGCAGGGTCTAGCATTCAATTCTTAAGAGATGGATTGTAACATACCTTGCGAAAATCTGAGTGCAAGTGCCACTTGGCTCGCAATCAACTTATTGTCCGGAACTGTTTGCCTCCTCTCCCTCTGCCCCCATTTTACAAGGCAGTGAAAGACGGAAAGCTGTGCAGTTTGTTGTTGCCGGCCGCGGCGAGACCGGCACAAGCCAACGGAACAGATTTTTGCTTGGCAACTTCCGCCCGTCGGGGCGCCTCGGAGGTGTCAGGCCCAAGATGCTTGGCAAACACAGATTGAAGAGATCCGTTGGAGGTTTCAACCTTGTGGTTAATCTTCATCTGCTGTTGGCGCCAGTTGAGAGCAGCCGCCGAAGGCCTCCAAATCGAGCAGAACCGTATTTCCAGCTTCTTCCGATACCTTGATAGATTTGAATTATGACGCTGCTCCAGCGATACTTTGAGACCAAGGCGTAGCCACAACATAATTGTTGCAATGCCATGTGCTGGTGCTATGAAACGTTTTTATGGAGGGGCTGAGCCTGCAGACTCTGCTCCCCGTGACAGCGATGATTCACGAAACCGCAGCCTGACAGTGAGAATGATTCAGGCATCAAGTCGGGGCCGGCCTTTCGTTCTTCGTCGTGGTCTTCTCCTTCTCTGCAACGGCGCAGCACTGGATCCTGGAGTTCTGACCCAGTGCAGGCTGACGGAGCTGACAACACCCCGGAACCTGAAGCTATGAGGCATGCGACCTGACAGAACCGAATCCTTTCCACTCCACGGAAGTCCCGAGCACACAACCCGACAGCACAACACCTTCGTAGTGCCCTGAGCCCACAGAAACCGCTCCATCCCTGCAACCGTTCCAACCCAGCCGTTTCCCAGGAGAGCCCTTGGCCCCAGGCCTCTTCTGCGTGGTTCGGCGTCCTTGCCTGGATCTTGTTACGATGCGGCTATGAGGCGCTTACCACAAGAACGAGAGAGAGATGTCGACTATGATAGCTAGTCAGCTGGTCCTCCTCTTCTTGTTTATTGGTGTTGTCAGGATCACTGCGAGTTTACCATACTTTCCAGTTTTATGATTGGACTCCCAGTTGTCCAAGTCAACACATTTCCCCATGCTGTAGGGCACCAAACCACACTCTGCACCAAGCAAAGCATCGGGGTGGTGTTTCCTTACCAGAGCTTTTGCCAAAAACATTGGGGCCCGAAGAAGCGCCACCACCAAGCGCTTGCATACAAAAAAACTCTGCCTGCGCGTCCCAGCCAGCAACCCAAGTCCGCAGGCCGCAAGCGGCGCGGCGCTCACTGCACCTGATGCGAGAAGACAAAGGGGTTCGATTCGGATTGTATTCGCTCAATTTTACACGCTTACTGCGGCCGACCCGTTCACCGGAGTTCGGAATGCAACCCTACCAGCTCGGCAACGTAGAAAGGTGGACAAAGGTCGACCAGGGTCCGGCTCTCCGTCTCCCTTCACACTAAACAGTACGCAGAGGCGGTCCGCTGGGGACTTGAATCTGAAACAGAAAAAGGAGAAGATCTGCAAAATCTCGTAAAGACTCTTGATACCACATCTGCAAGCTGACCTTTCGCCTTTCAGCCGGACCTGTAAACACCTTGATACACAGTTGATGCCACATCATGTTTGCCTGCCCACCACCCGATGCCATGCTCGTCCCGGGCTGATGCTCAGGTGCTTTGCTGTCGAGGGCATACCACCCTCCGGAACTGGCTTCCAGGACAGAAGGCTGAAACTTCATTGAAAAAACAAGTGGGCTTAGGGGCGAGGGGCAGGATTAGTTGACGCGATCGAGATCTGCTGAATTTCTAGGATCTCCAGTTATACGCTCCCGGCGCTAGCCTAATTAACCACGACGGCAGTCATCGCCGCCATGTCATCGTCATAATCATCATTTCCATCAACGCGCATGACAGAGAAAAGGCTCTCAGCATCTTTCTGACAAGGACATACGACACGCTGCAGGGAACTAAACGTTGTGACGATACGAGTAGTACAAACAGAGCAGCGATGAACTTCCCAAAGCCCCGAAAGCCCAGAATCCACACATCCTGGGTTCGGACACCTCGCTCCGGGACCTCGTGCATTGCCTTTGCCGGCTGCGAAGTGGTGAGCCTCCGCCAGAAGCTCCCATTTATTCTTCCTATCCATGTGGATGATGAGTTCGTGATTTCCACATCTTCTGGCTGTGGAAATTCGGTAGTCTGGCGGCTATTTGGGATCTTGAGGGCCGAGGCTTCATGGTAGGGTTTGAGGATTGGAGCTCTACTTTCATCTGCAGGCATCTGCAGGCCCTTGATTTCTGGTGCGCCGTGGTCCTTGACGATACTCCCGAAGTTGCACAGGAGAAGTTTTGAATTGCTATGTAGACGACCCAAGATCTTGGGGTGGCTGCGATATGAAGGCGCCTGTGAATAAGGCGAGTTGGTCTGTGGGTCCAGCCAAGCACGATACTTGGTATGGCTTCATGTACTGGAGCTCGTATCCACGCCATGATTAACAAATCGTCACCAGTGCCTTCATTTCTCACATACTCAATGCTTGCAAAACTAACATCCATGATCCACCGAAGATTCGGTATCTATCTAGAGTCTCTGCCCTCCTCTCAACTCTCCTCACATGCAATCCCCTCTACCCGGCACTTCTGCTGCTACTACCACCACTCCACCACTCCACCACTACTGCCGCTAGCGCTCCACGACGGGTGCAGAGACGCCTGGCGGGCAGTACATTCTGCGCTGCCCCGAAGACAAAAGCCTGGCAGGGTGGAGGCCCCAAAGCTGAACATGCTTAGAACCTTCTCATTGTCTTCTGAGGATTCTGACTACCCCCCTGTTTGCTCGTAGAACTTAGCTGCATCCAAAGAAGGCCACACCATTCTCGTGCGGGTCTCTTTATCACGGCCCTGCGACAGTCGTGAGAACCCCTTTTACAAACTCATCGTGGGACTCTCTTGGGCCTGTTTCAACACATGATCCTAGAGCCGGGTCACAGAGCGGCAGTAGTCAAGCTCCGCGGTGGTGGTATGATACAGACTTTGCATCGCTAACGTCTCCAGTACGGGATTTTTACTTTTGGTGCCAGAGCTCTTTTGGTGGTATGTCTTGCTCCGCGCGTGTGCGCGTTGAGATCACATGTCATCGTCCCAACCGGATAGATTGTCGTTGCGATCTGAGACGGTGGTGCAAGCAGTGGTGTGCCCAGTAAGGGTTCGCCTCCTTTTGCATGCTTGGGCAAAAAGAGTCCAAGGCTAAGATGAGTAAGCCTTTTCTGGGGCCTAACGGTCCCGAGTCTCGAGTCCAAGGGCTAGCTTTCGATGCTTTCGATCGCAGGGCGCGGCCTCGGTCTGGAGCGCCATGGCAAACTACGGGAGCGGGTGTTTGGTGCTCGGGACAAGGACGTCTCAAAATCGCGAGCCACGCAGCTCTGCTTGCTGGAGCCACAAGAGCACATGGAGTGCTGACAGCTGTTCCAGGCTTGGCACTCTCCCAAATGCCGAGTCCGGAAGCCAACTTGCAAGCTTCAAGTTGTTCTTTCAAGCATCCGGAACATCCATCCCGAAACAATCCTCAACCCTTCGACATGTCTCACCGGCAACACCGAGGCAGGAGGTTCACAAATTGCTCCATGAAACAAGGCAGAAGTCTCGTGAGTCCGAACGTCGCTACATCTCGGGTTTCGCAGTCAGGGTTGCGGCACTTCCTGGTGAATTAGTTCAAGGTGGCAGGGAACTTGCACAGTCCTCGCGCAGAGTCCCTAAAAGCTCTCAACAGGCGGGCAACGGCAAACTCACGGAGTTGGATGTCGGCTTTTTGCAGCTCGGATCCCGTTGATTTTAGGCCGCACTGTCAAAGGTCATCATGGAACGAATTCATGTTGCTTTTGGAAACATTTGTCAACAACCTTGGTCATGGGAAGGAGCTTTGGGTGCTGCCAGGATTTGAGCCTTCATGCAACCAATCGCCCGGAAACGCAGGAGATGCTGGGCATTCTGAGGCTGTCAGGAGCTCTTGAGGTGACAACAGGCAGCAAAGCAATGCTGGCTCGTTGCTTTTGGTATTACCCTTCCTCTAGCCGTTGCTATGCTACATCATCGCTGTTGATGCTGATGCTGTCCTGAATGGTAGAATAGTAGCAGCAGAAGTAGCAGAAGCAGAGGCAGAAGCAGAAGCAGCATTGCAGTTGCAGTAGCAGCAGGGGCAAAAGGCGGGGGAGGAAGGGCGAGGAGAAGTAGTTCAATTGTCGCAGCAGCAATGTAGGAGGGGACTCGAATACGCAGTAGGAACAATCGGAGCAGTAGGAGCTGTAGGACGAGGATTAGTCGGAGTATGATGAGCATTCGAAATAGGAGTAGGAAGAGAAGTAGGAAGTGGGAGTCGGGGGTCAAAGTGCCATGCGAGAGAACCTTGACTAAACACGCTCAGAGCTCCGATGTCTCAGAGGTGGATCCGATCAAGGGATCTCCGAAGTCTTGAGATCATTATCATATGGTCTTAATTTATAGTGTTGCTTTTAAAATAATAGTCTTTGTTACTTTACCATTACGAATATTACTTACTATTCTTACATCAATAGAACTTATAAATCCAAGATGTACCCTCAGGGCTGAAACAAAAGAGCTTGAAGCGGCTCACGTGCAGGAATTCGACTTTGGGGACTTGGACATTACGCTCCGTGTTCGGAACCGCCGTCTGCACCTAACACTGTTGCTAAGGCACTGCATCACTAAATGGAATAGAGACTTCTCTTCGTTGACAGCTCCTCACCAGTCTGCATGTCGACCTCGCAAAGGAATTCACTCTCTTAGAAAACTGCGAGAACAGCACACGCTACGTCTGGGATGCCATGACGCGTGTCATGTGCAAACATTTGGCTTTCAGGTTCCTCCTGATTTTGGGGAGACTTTCAACAGCTTGGAGGGTCAGCTCGCAGCTGGTGAGACTCGAAGCCAGTCGCTGATTCTGAGCACTCCCTGGGCTATGCTGCCAACAGTGGTGGCCCAGCTTCGGATGTTGCACCGCTCTCTCCCTGGGGCACCCGCGAACACAGCCATCAAGTTGTTCCCAGATGGACTGGCCTGCAGTGCGAGGCACAGCTTCGCTTTGGGACCTCGAAGGTGTAGGTTTGAGGTCAGCTGGGACCACAGCAGTCCAAAAACCAGTGCTGCTACAACCCCCCCCCATTCTGAATATAGGGCTCATAGGGCTTAGGAATCCTGATTTAGGATGTGTCGTGAAGGAAGCAAAACACCGGAGATGGGCCGGTTGGTTGGGTTCATGCTACGGCAAGGTTTGTTGATCAGGAATTCGTCACTACGTCGTGTATATCTGTGCTATGAACGAAAACACTTCTCAAAACAGGCAGATCTCGTCTTATTAATTCCTCTATACTGTTGCTTGTGCGACCCTGCTGTTGTGAATCAGTTTGGTTCGTACACTCTGCTCCATGCTACGAGGCAGCTCATAGTTGTAGCTGGTATTCATACATGAGACCGCTGGCTTGCTGCAGGCAGCTGTCGTTTCTCAGTCTGCCGATGAGACCACTCTTGCAATTCACAAACCCGGCAAAGAGAGGGTTCGAGTTGCGACTGGGTTTCGCTTGGCTTAGTGTTTCATGCAGAACCGCCTTCTGCATGCAGGCAACAGTACTTCCAGTCTGTTCCCACCCCAAACGCAGCATAAGCTGGGACTGCTCTTCAAGACTGTTGCTCGTGCGGAGCAAGATCACCCGTCTTAAGCAACATATCAGGGGCAAAAGGGTACTATTACTATGCTACATCCGGTGGCGATTTCGTCACTGAGGACGGGACCTGCATGACCTTCGCAGTTGGCGACTGGGAGCCCTTCGGCGATCGGCTTGCAGCGCTCTTCGGCGTGCTCTTTGGCGTCGCCTTTGGTGAGTCCTTGGGCGAGTCCTTCGGCGAGACCGAGACCATCTCCCTCACCTCAGCTTTTCTAGGAGCAGTGCCGCAGGGAAGAGCCTTGCTCTTGTTCGGTGGATGGCCCATCCCCTAATCTGGATCAAGATCCGCTCGCATGCCTGTGGTCACAAACACTGTTGCACACGATTGAAGCAGGCGGCAGCAGCCAGGCAAAGTAACGAACTAGCATCAGAGCACTTGTACGGTCGATAGATACAGGCACAATTGGAGGTAGTCACCCCCGTGGATCCAAAGCAGCCAAAACGGAAACGGGAAGCTTGGCGACCTTGCAGGTCGTGGAACATGTTATGGCAAAGCACTCCTCACTTTTGTTTTCGACTTGTCAGATGTCCAGGGCAGTCGTCCTTCGAGTAGGTCATAGCGGCATACGCCATAGGCAGGAGAAGTGTTTCTCAGATCAGGAGGAGGGGGAGCAGCTGGATCAAAATGAAGTTTAAGCGCAGGAGCGGCCGAGAACGAGTGTCATGAGCCAACAGAGTGGACTCCAAACTCCTGAGATCCATGAGAAACCCCAAAGACCTACAGCGAGGCCGCTGGTCGCACAAAGAAACTTTCGCAGGCTCAGTTGTGTTCACGGAGACCAAGCCTGAACTGGTGGGCCTGCCACTACCACTACTCCTAGAATACCACTATAATAACTGGTGTTCGTATTACTACTACTTCTGCTACTGCTACTACTACGATTATGATTCTTAGTATCACCATTAATACGTCTTCCGTCTTATGATTACTACAACTTCTGCTCCTTTTTATGTGCTCGTCAAGTGGCCAACCCCTTTAAAGGAACCCAATGAAACCCTATTCTCATTGTTAAGGCCCTTATTTTGCAGTACCCTATTGTAGAACCCTTGTAGTAACCCTTATAGACCCCTTTGAAAGGAGCCCTATTCCAATTGCAAAGGCCCCTCATACTATAGCACCCTGATAGTAGCCCTTATAGACCCCTTTGAAAGGAGCACTACTAAGGACCCTTTATTGCAGTACCCTTACAGATCCCTTTTCGTAACCCTTGTAGATCCCTTTACCGGAACCCTATGAAACCCTATTTTAACCATTAAGGCCCCTCAGCTCCTAAAGGTCCCTTGGAATCCTGTTTTAACCATTAAGGGCCCTTTTTTTAAGCCAAGCGGCCCCTGATACTATAGTACCCTTATGGTAGCCCCTATAGGTCCCTTTGAATCCTATTTTTACCATTAAGGCCCCTATACCCTATTATAGGTCCCTTGTAGTAACCCTTATAGACCCCTTTGAAAGGAGCCCTATTCTAATCGCAAAGGCCCCTTTTTTGAGCCCAAGTGGCCAAGCTCGGCGACATGGCGCGCACCGCGGAGGAGCGCGCGGGCTCAGCGGGGATTTGGAAACTCGGAGCCTGGGCCTGGGCCGCACTCTTCCCCTGTTTTTTGACCATTGGACATAAGACCTACTATATAGTAAATGTATATATAATATAGATATAGATATAAAGATGGTAAGTATATGTACATATATATATATATATATACGTATGTGTGTGTATCTACATATATATATATATATGTATATGTATATGCATACATGGATACCTACACTACATCATGCTCATTGGCGGCTTCGGGCTTGGAGAAATAAGTTCCAGAACTCACAGCCCAGCCTCGAGTGTTCAGCTGTGGATCTGGCGCTTTATCTCAGGTCGGTCTCACAAACCCATAAAGCAACACATATAATATACCGCGATGTAGCATACTATAATGTAGGAACATCGCGAGGAGAAGAGAAAGGAGGCCGAAAGGAAAGATCAGCACTGAACAAGACAAGATCAAAGGACTGAAACAAATTGTCAGGAAAATTCCACGTCCGCTGCTTTGAATTTGTAGCTGGCACCAATCTCCTTAAAGCAAACGCGACAGGGATGCACAGTATATGCCTGTTAAGCTAATTGTATAATGAACGTTTCTCTTGTTCAATGTTTTGTTGAATTAAAACCAAAACCTAAATCTTCGTATAGGTTACTGGTTTCGCTCATGCTTGAACTAAGTAAGAGATGACGGAGGCTTGACTGAGCAAGCTTGACTAAAATATAGAATGCTGGCTCCACACGCTGGCTGGCACAGTTACATGGCTGTCGCCCCACCTGACTCCAAACACCAACGGGATTTCTACTCTCTTACAGGTGGTCTGATGGGCCGCACGAAACATCCCGAAACACTGCATGCAAAAGCCACACTCAATGCACTCGGACGATCTTCACAGTGGAGCTTTTCCTATCACGCAGACCTCCGAGTGCCACGGCAAGACTTGCTTTGCAGCATATCGCCGGCTCGTCGCGAAGAACCAACGTGAAGAAATCCTTCACCCCAAGACGCCCGTCTGGGGTCCGCACAGGGCGCAGGGGGCTGTTGCTCGCACCGGCCTCAAACGCTTGATGGTCGAAGCCATTGCGCTCGAATTCCGCGTTTTCGTTGGATTGGTTGGGACGCTTTGGGCATCTTGAGCCTCGCTGGGGAATGAGCCCCCGAAGCACTCGCAGGACAGGGCATGGCAACTTCCAGGCCTCATAGAAAGAGTGAGGATTCGGGTGCAGACTGAGAAGCATGGACACAAAAAGAGAGAGAGAGAGAGAGAGAGAGAGAGAGAAAGAGAGATAGAGATAGAGATAGAGATAGAGAAAGACAGGCAGAGAGACACAGAAGAGAAGAGAGAAACGAGAGAGAGAGAGAGAGAGAGAGAGAGAAGCACAAAAGCTCAGGCCCTCACGGCACGCATGGGGCTGTTGGCCCCCCCAGGGGCCTCACGTGCTGGCCGGTCCAAGTCTTTGCACTCAAAGTTCGGGTTTGTTGTTGGCACTGTGGGGGCTGCGACAACGTCGCCGACGATCAGCATGACCAACAAGCACCACCACTGTACCAAAACTAATCCACATGCACAACCAACAGCCCCACTAATGCTGCGACAACTTCTTTGGTGAAAAGGAAGCCCGGCTCTGGTAGACCAAGCTCGGGGCGCCAAATGCCATGGCCAAATTCGTCAAGGAACCACCCTGGAGCTTCGTGTGTTGTACAAGCAAACAGAAGGAGGGCCAGGATTCGGATTGCTGGCTGTGGACGATTGATTCAATATCAGGCACTCAGTTCTAGACGCTCGGTCCCGACAAGGAACACACGGCGGGGGGACTGCTAGCGTCACTCGAGGCCTCAGCCTCTTCTCATCCACTAGCTGTCTTGGACAAAACTGAGAACAATATCATCCCCAAAATCGCTATCAACGAGCTTCCATGAAGCCAAGCTACAAACTGCCTTGTGCTGCTTTACAGGCAGGAAGCTAGGACATCCTGCAAAAATTAAGGCTTCCTTAGGGCTTCCCGCGGCTCTTCCGCTTCCTTCTGAGGTGGGGGCTCGAGTCGGTGAGCGAGCCGGCGAGCCCTGCGGCGAGATCGCAGCCTAGGTAACTTCAGCGGGGCCGAAGGGTTACACTGTAAGGCCTGTGACCCTGACAAGTGTTGCAAGGGGCAGCACCCAAAAAAAGAAACACACGTCAGGGTCTTCAGGTTTGAGAGTCGAGTTGAGGATTAGTGGCCTGCGGGGGCTTGAAGTTACGGTTACGGTTTCGGGCAGGCAACACGTTCTGCTTGTCAGATTGGTTCTCAAGCTGCGTTTGACAACATTGTTGTCATTCCATTTTCGACAGGTTTGACCAGAAGCCAAATTTGTCAGTATGTTTCTCAAACTGTTGACAATGTTGTTGTCAAGCTTGAGCGCAATGCTGTCGAAAATGACAACATTCACGTCAATGATGGTTCGCGGAGCATGATTTCGACATCGATGTATCACTGATCTTTCTGGTAGTGTTGATATTGACATCTATGTTAAAGTGCAACACGTGTGGCTGAACTGTTCAGTAGCCTCATACTTTAAAACCTTAAGTGCCGTGGCAAGAAGCCCGTCGAACGAACCGAACCACGGGAACGAAGCCGGCACGAACCGCGAACCGCATTGGAGGGAAGCGAGACCTGTGCGAACCGAACCGAACCATGCGCCGAACCGAACCGGAACCGCAAACCCATCATGGGTTTGGGCTGCCAACCTAAACTTGAAAGCTGAAACCTTCCAATTCCTCTTTCCGTTCTGTAGACCGGCTGGCACAGGGGAGTACAAGTTCTTTTTTTGCAGCAAGTCCAGCTCCCGAGCCACGAACACTAATCCGGCCCGATGCAGAGAGTGCAGGTTTCCGGCATTTCCAGCTTGCAAACCTACGAAAACCCAGCCGTTCCAGCTCCTGAAGCTATCAAAATCATTACTCCTCGTGCCCGGTCCGATGCAGTGTACCCCGAGCCTTCCAAAGCCTCTTTCGGCTCTATAGATGGGCCGCGCAGCGGAGCACAGGCTTCCAGCTGCTGCTGCTACTACTTCTAACTGCGAGGTCTTCCTAGCAAGTACTACTAGCATCGAAAGTTTTGGCAATACCCCAATACATTGTCCCTGATGCGCAGACGAAAACACAAATATTAAAGAGACTGTCAACACAATAGCATCGCAGGTGATACTTGGAATGTCTTAGTCATAAGAAACGTTGTCAATGACGTGCAGCTCGAATTCGATTCTGCTACTTTTACTATAGTGGCAACACGGCTGATGTGACCTACATTGTCAAATACTGCAATCACAACTATGTCATCAGTACTCGGATTCGCGTTGTTCGTGCCTGATATGATGAGTAAGACGAACAGCACATACACATCAGGACTAACAGGGTGCTGTGCTTAGCATCGCTGTTGACACCACTATCGAGTGTGTTGCCTGTTTCTAGTGGTGGTACAGAGAATAGGACTGTCAAAAACTAGTTTTGTGGTGTTTTTGATACTAGCAACACGAGTGTAGCTGATATTGCACTAGTACCATCACGTTTAGTGATGTTCCTAGAAGCTAGCATAACTCCACGCAAGCATGCTAACAGCTGTGAGCAACACAAGCGATGAATAACCAGGACGTAAACACATACGAGCAGCACGGGACAACATGCAAACACCGAAACAGGAATAACTCGGCACCGACAGCATCTTTAGAACGAAAACAGATTCTTCATGGAGAGACCGGCAGACAGGCCGGGAGACAAGCATACCCTTCACATCCACACAGAGACGTAGGCTGGCTGGAAGAAACTTCTATTCAACATGCTGCAACAGAGACTCCTGCATTCCTGAGATCCTATAGCCAAAAACCAAAGGAAGCGCATTCTGAGTGCCGGCAAAGCAAACCCGTGAACCGAGACGCACCAACAAAAAACCATCCCTTCGCGAAAGTCGGGGGTCAAGGTGTCCGAGGCCCCGCGCAGGGCGAGGACTAGCCGCCACCTGAAAGTTCTCTGGAACTGGTTTTCACGACCGAATCGCCCAAACCCTAAACTGTGAGTTACCAACCTGAGGAAGCTTGGGCAGGCTCCGCCCCGTGCTGCGCGGCTTTGCGTAACGGCGTAAGTTCGGTTTGTGCGCTTGCTCTGGTTGACAGGATTGACAGCTAGGGCTAGCTTCTTTGACTTTCCGATGACACTCGAAAAGGTCAGATCCGTCCACCAGCCTGGATGGCACGGCCGGCATGTTTGGGACTCGCCTGGGGCTCCAGGAAAGTGTTGGAGTTCCAGAAGATGTGGGGGAATCAATGATATGAGCAGGGTATACTCTACTTTAAGATCCTAGAAGTATCTTCTAAGTATCCTACAAGTATCTTAAGATCCTACATTTCACCGACCACGAAGCTCCGCAGATTTTGGGCTGGGCCCCTGGGCTCCAGACACAGAGATGGGGCACACCTGGACTTGCCTGCGGCAACTTTGGTTGGGACCGTGAGACATTCGGTTTAGGGTGCAGGGTTTAGGGTTTCTCTACCTGGTCCTCAACCTGCTCAGCACGGAATCTTGGCGGCGATCGTCTACGACCTTCCCCTAAACCGCTGCGACGGTGCTGTAGAGATTTCTGAATAGCTTCTCCATGAGCGATGAATCGGAATTGACACAAGCCCACTTGATTAGCAATTCATCATGATTGCCTAGCCTGGAAAAATGCAGCGCAAGCACATGGGCAATCCAAGTATCTGACCGACAAGCCTTCGAGTCCGAAACTTCGAATCCAAAAGGCGAAACACAGCCGGGCCTCCCCCAGTGGGGGCGTGCCGACACATCTCGGGGACGGCGGGCTCGCCTGGGATCAAGTGGCACACGTGGCAAAACAAAAGGAACTTAGAATGGAATTGTGAACCATATACAGATGTAGAGATAGTCGTAAAATCGAGGGGAGCAGCAGGGCGACATGCTTGACATCGCCTCACTAAATCGCTGACACTCTATTCACACGGTGGCAGGCAGGAAGGTTGGGAGAGGTCGCCTGTCTGGCTCAGTAGGGCCCTGCGGCAACTTTAGCTGCTCATCATCAGTGATTTCCATCCAGAGATTAGAAGCATTGTGCGTTCAGTGCTAGATTCTGGCTCCCAGCCTACAACTGCGATCTCGTCTACAAGCCAAGCTTCTAGTCAAGTGAAGGACCCAAGCCGGAATCACAACGATACTCGCCATGAGACAGCCACACAAATCTAAGTAACAGCAGTAATGATTGCTGCTACATATATAGTCTTAACAACTACACCAACACACATCAATAGTAAGACCGAATACTGCCATGATCAATAAAACTACTCGTGGACAACAAGAATGAAGAAGAACATCGTATGGTAATGACAAAGATAACAATAGTAGTGATAGGTAATGATAGGGATGAGGACAAGGAAAATTCTAAGTTCATTTGAGTCTACAGTTGAAATTATGCTTGGGACTATGCTGGTGTCTATTGTTGTACTTGCATTTAATACGCATTACAATCATCAAAGCATTTTATAGCAACGATGTAAAAGCCCTACTAATCCCATATATGAGCTAGATAATAAACAATAAGCACATTCAGGACTCTCTCTTATGAGAGTACTATGGGGGTCGGAATTATGAGAATAGGGCGTTGGGAGATATTCCAGTGAACTTACACTGCGGATCCCAACGGAACATATATGGGAGTTTCCGAAAAATATGGGTACCTTATTTTGGTGTCCTGATAATCAGGATCCTACTACATAGGGCACAAAATTAGGGTCCCCTATTTTCGGAAACTCCCATATAAAGGCAATTGGAATAGAGCTTCTTTTATTTTGGGAGGCTAGATACAGGCTTGATAGGGTATACTGCACTGTTACGGTAACAACTAGCAATCATACTCGTGCTGGTAACAATAATCGTCGTAATAATGGCAGTAGTAACAGTCACGGTCGTAATAATAGCAACAAGACTAATAATAATTCAACCCATAGCAATAGCAATACTACTAACTACTATACGAATGCTATTACCAGTATCAGTAGCAACAGCCACAGTAACAATCGTAGCACTATTCTGCGAGTGCACACTTTGAAGGACCGGGGCTCTCGCAGCACCGGGGAATATGGGAGGCTGAGCGCCCTGATCCAGGGCTCTTTGGGGTTGCTCAGTTTTTTTGAGGGCTCAGGGCCCAGACTTCAGGAGTTTCGGGGGCAAGGCTTTATGAGTTCTTTTTTCTTATCCACTCTTTTCCGTCAGCTGAACACAACCTTCCGAAAGCCATGGTGGCTGAGGGACACAAATGAGCGGGATCACCACCAACAACCCATTGAGAATACCCCTACGAGTTTACATGAGACGGCGAGGCTTCAGTGCGGCCGACTCACCTCTGGTTAGTAGGGAATGGTAGTAATAGTAGTTATATGGTAGTTATATGGTAGTAAAAGTAGTTATTATTGTAGGCAGGTCAACTCCTTTGTCCAAGCATAACATCACTCACAGGGGCTAGACAAAGCAGCAGACCAGAACAGAACAACCTCGAACCCCTGACCTGCCCGAGGATTTAGGAGCTCGGGATCTAGGAGTTAGGAGGGGGCTTGGGAGTTTATGGTTCAGGAGTTCCAGGTCTAGGGCTTTCGAATTCGATTCCAGGTTTTAGGGTTGTTTGTTGGGGCTTAGGACTTGAGGTCCAGTTCTCAGGTCTGGCAACTCGGGATCGAGGGATTTAGGGTTTGAAGGTCTAGAAGGATTCGGAACATGAGGGTGTGTGGTGCAGTCTGAGCATGGCAAGTGGCATGAAAGGGTTAGTACTGCCAGCAAGATTTCATCCGTAATTCCGATTTTTGATTTGAGCTCTTACCTATCCCACGTAGCATAGGCATGGTTTCGGCTTTCAAGAGCGGTGCTACAGTCGTTGTGAGAGGGACGCACGAAAACGGGCCCCTAGCTTGCAATATTCTGGCTAAAAGGGTGTGAGGGTCATAACATGCGATATCCGAATGTCATTGTGCTCTTAGCCCTCAAAGGATGCGGGTGCACCTCGCGAGGGGAATTAGGTACATCCTGACTCCTAACCTGCCCCGATGCTGTGCCAACTTACAGTTTGGACATGCAAGGACCATCTGCATCATGATGCCTTCGTACAATAGCTGAGTTCTGCTCAGGCCTGGACAGTGCTGGTGTTGGCGGGCGCCTCAGTGACGACAAGGTTCAGAAAAGTTGTGGCCTTGCATTGCACTCCTAATACAGGAGGACGGTATCGTGGGCTAAGGGAATGGACCTGGATGCTGAGGCCGTAGTTTGGATCTATGTTTATGCTCCTGATCCGACTGCCTCACAGGCCTCTTGTCGAATTTGCTAGACAGGGATCCTGAGTGGGGCGACCGCCTTGGCGAGAGCCTCATCTTGCAACTGATTCCTGTAGCGACTCTTACCTGTTGCTCTGAAAATCTACATAATGCTTCTTCATACTGCATTCCTGCAAGGTTCGCAGATCTGCGACCGAGGCCCACACGGTCCAACGGATTGGAGCTCCTTCGGCGGACGTTCAAGTTTTGCCAGCCATGTCCAGAAGTGTTCAGGGTGGGCCTATCCATCCGCTATGCCTGGTTGCACTCAGGACGTGTGAAGCAGGCAACCCTGCACCCTGCAAGCAGCAACCCCGAACGACTGGTGATGCAGTCGTCGAGATCTTAAGTTCCGTGGCCCACAGCTGCAGAAGCCGGCCACTGTTGCTCGCCGTGGCGGAGGATGGAGCACACGTCTTGCAGGCAACATGATGGTTATGGACAGAAGCTCCCCCTGGGGACAACCTTCGAGTCTGGACACCGTTGTCTCATGGCAAAGGCTTTTCGCGAAGGGACTGATCCGGAAGACTAAGAGAGCTGTGAGGAACTGATGGCAGATCGGAGCTGGCAGGTTTTTGTGGTTGCGGTGGTGGAGGCTTTGTGCTTCTCCAAAGCTCCTGCTCTGGTAGTTGCGTCGGATCCCTGCTTCATGGTGAGAGCTTGCGCATTGTGAACGCTACACCCTGAGAAGCCATGGCCGTTCTGAATTTGAAAAAGCCAGACTCGTTGGGTCGTCCGAGCCCTTCCCGGTCCTGCCGTGGTCGTTGACACTGCTGATGGCATAGGCACAGGCGGCGCCCGCACGGACTGGGCGAGCGGCTGGCGCCTCAGAGCTGTCCGGCTTAAGCCCCGGCCCAGGCCCGCCAGGCCCAGGCCTCTGCGCAGAAGGCCAAACCAGCACCGTACGTTAACTCTTTTCGATGCATGCTCTAGTTTGCACGCCACAACGAAGACACCGGGCAGTACCTTCTTGCGGGAGTACTACAACTCCCCACAGCAGTGCGCACTGCTCATCGTCTCGTCTCACGAATCTCGTTGCTGGGGCTTCGGGACCAGCTGCCCTTGCCGAGGAGATGCCTACTGCCAACCTGGAAATCGGTGCCTCATCGACCGGCCGGGTTTCCAGCCGGTTCAGCAGGTCGTTTTGCTGCTGGACGAGCTGGTCGTGTTCCTGCAAGCTTCAAGGCTGCATGCAGGGCTCCAAGCTCATCTCGCTCGGAACTTCGGTCTGTAGCATCCAGAGCGCCATCATCATCTTCAAAAACCCTGCTTACGCCCTACGTCCTCGAGCAGTCGCTGCATGGCGCCCTTCAAGGCATCCGGACCAGGGCCCTGGTGCCAAAAGGATCAGTGACCGGTCCCACTCAAAACTGGGGCCTACTCCTCCCCATTAAAGGAACCCACACACAGGAGCTCTTCGTTTAGGGGCTGCTAATAAATAGGGGTTATAAGAAGAAAGGGCGCGTCAATGGAGCAGTATGTAACAGATGCATTGCACTGTGGAGCCCATCTACAATACTATACATATGGGTACATAAACAATGAACAGGTAGATAGTGCAGTCGCATAGTGCAAGATCAATGCTCAGCAATACAAACTGAGACTAAGTCTTGGAAGCAACTTTAGTCTCCGGCTTCTTTGGGCTTTGGGTGCAGCGAAAATGTGTTCCGATCTGGTTCGATGCCGAATGCACAGATTTCTGCTTGCAGCTGCAAAACGGTGCCAAGCTGAATGTGAAACAAATCTTCGGAATCAGGACGTGGGGGAGCGAAGCCGCGGCACCCCTGCAGCACCCGGCCCATCTCAACCCTCGACAACCGAGCTCAAACTGACTGATTCCCTCACTCCCCAAACTCGGAGAAGTGCAAACAACCTTTTGGGGGCCCCTCTCCTGAGCTTTGCCAGAGCCATTCACCTGCGGAGAGCGACTACGGGCTCCCTCAGCACGTCCTATACAAAGCAGAAAACACAGGATAGAGTAATGTGTAGCATATGACGGATGATACAAAATAGGTCATGTATAGAAATTCCCTGTGCCGTGTACATCCGACTTCGGGGCTGGGCGAAGGTTAAGCCCCTAAGTAGGGCAGTCATATCACGTTGCCAATAGTCAGGCGGTAAGACCAGGGAGTTGACAATCTTCAGTAGGGCAGTAGGGTTTAGCAGCTTTGAGCGACTTCGGGGGATGTCATGGCTAAGTAGCTACTTGTTCTGCTTGGGGGACTTGAAAGAAGCTGCATGATTGAAAGCTCAGTTGCAAATCGCAACACCGAGGCCCTGCAGCCTACGACCAAGCCTGAAACCAAAAAAACACCGACGGCAGAATTCCGGGAGCCACCTCCGCCTCGTTCAAAGCCGGCGCGTAGCTGCTGTTCAGCTGCTTGATGAGCCTTTGCTTCGACCAAAGGAAGTTACGACAACAGGGCCATCCGTTTGTAATTCGTCTGTTCTGTGATCATATAGTGTGTATCGACACACGCATGGAAAGACTTAGGGATCAAGCTTCAAGGACTTCGGGTTGAGCAAAGGCTTCCCCAGGATGTCTGCGTGACTGCGGTACTGGCAGAAAGCGGTAGCTTCCTCTGAATAGCCTTGCGCTTGCACACAGGGGGGAGGCCGGAAATGACAACAGGATGCCCTGAGCTTTGAAACCACAAATGTAGCACGGAGGTACGGGGCCCTGGGAAGCTCCTCAGCTTTCGTGCCGACCTATTCCGGTCACGGGTATTTTGCGAACGCACTTACAGGGGCGGCTGGCAACTCGCAGGTGCCAGTCAAATCACGTCTCACCTTAAGTGCTTGCACAAGGAACGACAACACACCCCCCCCTCAAAAAGCTACGTCCATCATTTTCCGTAAGCCTTACCACCCCAAGGCTGACAAGGAAACTACCACGTTTTGCAGAGTCGGCATGTCGAAGCCGTTAGTGAACCGAAGACCAGAATGCCTGTGCACCAGGGAGCGTTTTGAGCACCTTCTCGGTCTCAACCACCTTCACCTGTCCCCAAGTGGTGATTTCGCTCTCCAAAAACATGACTTGGATTCGTCGCTGGCTTGTGAGGTCGTAGTTTCGGGCGCGAGGGTTTCTAGAAATTGTTGAGAACTCACCCTTAAAATAAGGAATATACCGTTAATTGCAGAAGGCTTCCGAGTGAGTCCAGGCATATGGGAGTTTCCGAGAATAGGGGACCCTAATATAGTACCCTCAATAGTAGGATCCTTATTATAAGGACTCCAAAATAAGGTACCCCTAATTTTCGGACACTCTCATATGCCTTAACCAGCAGGTGGCGAGCTCTTTCAAACCACAGGCCGAGTTACACATGAGCCTGTCGAAACATTTATTTCGGAATTTCATTCAGGCAGCATAGGACACTAGTAGAGAACACGAAACGGTAGGATCCCTGATGCCAGGGCCCAAAATAGGACCGTTAAGTGAGAGACTTCAACTTTCTTTGTTTCCTACTCGTTCGTGAGGCGGCCCTGCTGGCAATGCTCACGCAACCCGTAGAACAAAGAAGTATGAAGCTTGATACAGACACGTAAACCCAAATCCAATGTATGGATCTGAATAATTAGAGTGGGGTTTCGGGGTAGGATAAAACTGTAATCAGACGATGAAAGGAACCACCCGGAGACCACCAAGACACGACACCCCGGGCAAGCTGCTTCCTCCAAAGTACTGGCAGGATTTAGCACGGTGTTGCTTTGCTTCCCCATATGTGGGCAAGATGCAGAGATTCCGACTAAAAGGTGTTGTCCGAGTAAAAACCCTTTCGGTTATCCTGAGAATGAGGCTTTCGATACTTCTTAGAGCAAGCCCAAATCGGAAAGAAGCTGCAGTGTGATGCTTTACTTCTTTCGGCCCTGGAGCCCTACACCCTTGAAACGACTGGAGATATAATATATATATATATATATAATCTATAAATATATATATATATATATATATATAGAGGGCCATTTTCTGGCTTTCGAATTTAGCGCTTTGGATTATGAGATTTAGGTTATGCGTACTAGTCGAAGGCAGACTGATGTCCAAGAGGCTGAGGCCCCGCATCTCCCCTTGAACAGGGAGCGCGAAGCCTTTACCAAGCAACACACTGCAACCCCAGGTTGCGGCCTTCATCAAGTTCATGCTGGTCGCCACGCTATCCTCCAGGCCTGGCACAGGGTGGCACTGGGAAAGCCGCGAGCGCTGGCGCTACGGCGCTGGCCTAGCCGCCGTCATTCTGTCTTGCAGCTAGCGAGGCCAAGCGAAAATTCCCTTTTCTGCACTTGTTGAGCAGTGTGTACACACATGGGTCTGCATATGTCATCACACGCACCACTTAATAACTTAAGCTACGTACAATGTTGCAGAAGGTTCTGCCTAATGACCACATCACATGTGTGACAAAAACGACATGCGACATGCGTACTATCCCACACCCACATCACGGTCTTCCTGAATGCTTGACATACACTCACTACAAGCCTGCTAGCACCTCACACATGACGTGCTTTTCCGGGCTTGTTTTCCAGGGCTTACATAAGGTTTTACAGGGTTTCTTGGTGGGGTTCATGAGTTAGCATCCACCCAACCTCTTGCCCATAAGCTAGAACGTCTGAGCCCACCCTACACCATTTCACCCATGATCAACAAGCAACGAGAAGCTCAGAAGTTGTGTTATTTGGAGTGGCTGGGTAGAAAGAATCTATGGTGTGTTCTTGCGTGGGTCGGATAGCGCTTTGGTGTTGTCATGCGGCTTGGGTGTTGCATTGCTGGTGGCGAGACATCTATGCAATATCTAACTTAGTGTATTAGCCATTAAGATTCTTTTTACGTACCATTCTGGGTCATCACTCCATTTTGAAAAGTTTTCCCGAAAGCATCGCGAAGGGTTCTTCCGTGTGGAACGCCGCAGCTGAGTACATAGATGACAGACATAGAATCAACTTACTTGACTCCATACTTTACTCTACACTTGATACTTGACTCTACACTTGATACTTACTTACTTACTTGACCTCTATGACTGACTCTCTACACTTGACACTTGACTCTATGATACTTGACTCTACACTTGATACTTGACTCTATGTTATGCTTACGACTTACTTACTTACTTACTTCAATCTACTTACTAACTTACTTGACACTTGACACTGGACTCTATGTTATGCTATCTCTATACTTACTTATACTTACTTATACTTACTTACTTACTTACTTACTTACTTGACTTGCTTAGTTACTTACTTACTTACCTACTTACTTACTTTTACTTACTTACTTACTTACTTACTTGACTCTATGCCTCTATGACTTACTCTCTACATCTCGGTATCTAATTCTCTCTTTTAAAGCCAGGGGGTGGCACCGTTGTCGTCCATCGGGAATGCAACCCTTCCCAGGGATTCGCCTCCTCGGGCGTTCAAACGCGAGGTAAAGTTACACATTTTAGGTGCCCGGGTGAACCCTTCACAGGGATTCGCTGCCTCGGGCGTTCAAACGCGAGGTAAAGTTACACATTTTAGGCGCCCGGGTGAACCCTTCACAGGGATTGGCATGGGCGAGGGCCCAAACGCTAGGTAAAGTTACACATTTTTTAACTTAATGCGGTGCCCGTGCAACCCTTCCCAGGGATTCGCCTCCTCGGGCGTTCAAACGCGAGGTAAAGTTACACATTTTAGGCGCCCGGGTGAACCCTTCACAGGGATTCGCTGCCTCGGGCGTTCAAACGCGAGGTAAAGTTACACATTTTAGGCGCCCGGGTGAACCCTTCACAGGGATTGGCATGGGCGAGGGCCCAAACGCTAGGTAAAGTTACACATTTTTTAACTTAATGCGGTGCCCGTGCAACCCTTCCCAGGGATTCGCCTCCTCGGGCGTTCAAACGCGAGGTAAAGTTACACATTTTTCGGTGCCCGTGCAACCCTTCACAGGGATTCGCTGCCTCGGGCGTTCAAACGCGAGGTAAAGTTACACATTTTTCGGGCGCCGTGAACCCTTCACAGGGATTCGCTTCCTCGGGTGTTCAAACGCGAGGTAAAGTTACACATTTTGCGGGCGCCGCGCAACCCTTCACAGGGTTTGGGTGCAGTTCATTTTTTTTTGCAACCCTTCACAGGGATTGGCATTTTGCAACCCTTCACAGGGATTGGCGTGGTCGGGTGTTCGAACGCGAGGTAAAGTTGCATTTTTTGACGAGCATTGAGATGGATTATTTTATGTGCATTGAGTTGAGTTTTGCAACCCTTCACAGGGATTGGCGTGGTGGAGTGTTCGAACGCGAGGTAAAGTTGCAATTTTTGATGAGCATTGAGCTGAATTTTGCAACCCTTCACAGGGATTGGTGTGGTGGAGTGTTCGAACGCGAGGTAAAGTTGCAATTATTGATGAGCATTGAGATGAATTTTGCAACCCCTCACAGGGATTGCAAAATCGAGTGTTCGAACGCGAGGTAAAGTTGCAATTTTTGGATGAGCATTGAAATGAATTTTGCAACCCTTCACACAGATTGGCGTTGTCGAGTGTTCGAACGCGAGGTGAAGTTACACATTTTGCGGTGCCCGCGGAACCCTTCACAGGGATTGGCTTGGTCGAATCTTGACTCTGTGACTTTACGATCCTATACAGTGACTCTATCTCACTACGACTCTATGACGCTATCTCACTGCAACTCTATGACTTTATGACTCATGACTCATGGACTCTATGACTCTTGACTCTGTGACTTTACGATCCTATACACTGGATCTATCACATAGCCCCACAATCTTCGCTGATGATGCTTTCGGGCCAATTGTCTTCTAGTTAGAACCTTGATGGTTCGTCCAAACAAGATAAAGGCTTTGGCCTCTCTTGTATGTTGTTATATCATACGAAGAAAAATGTATGTATTGATTGATCGCATGTAAAATAGATTCCTTCAGTACATGAGGGATTTTATCTCAAACAGGGCCCTTTTGCTGCTGAAGGCCTTGTTTCTTGCAGCGAAGCCGAAGACGCTCCAGTAATCCAATCGTCCAACTCCAACCCTTATACCTGACATACTAATCGTAATGACATAATAAAATCGCCCTACCAACAATAATGACAATACTAATAACAATTACGATAAAATAAATGACATGGGCAGCGCCTTTGTTCAGGGTCTTCAGCGACTGGGACCTGAAACTCACAGCTGAGCGCAGGCGAGCGCAAGCTCCAAATTAGGATTCTGACGCAAGGAAGGACTCGGATGACAAATGGTTCGGAAGCCAACTACAGAAGACAAAATGAACCGTGCAATTGACCTAGGGTGTCTTAATCTTAGGTTGATTGCACATAATGCGGCTCAGAGGCAGGTCTTTCTCGAAGCTTTGCAGCTGAGCCTCTGCAGGCACGGCTTCAACTTTTTTCATCGGCCCAAGACACGCTTAGTCTATACCAGCATGTGCTGAGCTAGGAGTATGCACCTGCTGTTCACTTATACCAATACCTAATACATGCCAGGACGACACCTAACTCTTCCAAGGATGCTCTGGCACTTTGATCTTGGGATTGATCATAGAGGGCTTATGGCTCTTCACCTTCCTCCACGCATGAATACAGACCGGAGTCCTGCGTGCTGGCCACAGCCACTCATGTTCAATTTCCATCCAAATAAGAAGACTATAAAGGCTGGCTTACTTAAAGGATCATGGGACTTAGCAAAGTAGCTCAAACCCAGCGACCTGCATCCCAACACCAGGAAGACCCAGACGCAGCATCCACTGGTGCTTCGGCTCAACACACTGGTCCCTCGCACCGCCCCCCAAAACCCTTTTCTAATTGTTAAGGTCCCTACTTAAAGGTTCATGAGACTTAGCAACTATGGTTGTGATAAATAAGGTAACTATACTTAGTTAGGGTACTTATACCTGTACTAAGTCCCATGATCCTTTAAGTACCGGTTATATGTACCTTAGCTGGGGTTATAAGAAAAAATAACTGTAGTTACTGTGCGTATAACCCTACCTACTCAGTCTCATGACTCCCCTTCTAGAACCCTTAGAGATCCCTTTAAGGAACCCCCCAGTATAGAACCCTACAGGTACCCTTAAAAGGAGCCCTCAGCCTTGGGAAGCTCTTAGCTTTCGGCCTCGTGCTCGAGCTTCTCCTCTTGGATGAGCTCGGCAATGCTCTGGGCTCGCGCCTGGCGCTCGGTTTCGCTCGGCTTGGGAGTTTGGGGGGGTGGCGGTATACTGCCGACGGCACGAGCCATGGGGTTTATGAAACGTGGCTCACATACAGCCTTCAGCGAAGCTGCGGGCGCTCGCACTTCAGGATTATTAGCAGTCATCGCACTAGAAGGGCTTTGACACAAGCATGGTGCTCTGAAGACAATTACTTCGTCCGTGCCTTCGACAGTCTTCATGGTCTGACTAAGTTCATCCTTCTGTGAAACATACATTGCTGAGCTACGACTGTGAAACAGACCACGGTTGCAATTATGCCCTGTCCAGGTCTATGTTGTGATGTAGTGCTGTCGACGCCATCAGTATTTGTGGGATGAAGCCATCGACATTTCGTAAATCTGTTTCGTTGGGCATCTAGTAAGCACGAGCTTTCCCACCGATGAATCTAACTTGTGTCAGAGCTGTGCGTGATCTTCAGGCTACATACCAGTACTATCCTCGCTGCAGATATTGCTGGCGGACCGACACACAAAAGTTGTTCAGTTTGGCTGAAACCCCATGCTGCCAGTTCTGTTTGATGTTGGGACCTTGCTGTCATCCTGAACTTTTTCTTCTCTACTGATTGTAGTGTTTGTGCGAAGCCATGGCTTCTTGTCTTGCTCCCAACGCCCAACTCGCGACGCTTAGGAAATACTGGTGTTGCTAGTAACCCCCCTTATAGACTCGATTTTGTTCGCTAAACATCAAAAACGCACAACAAGCACGGCTGGTTGTCTTGAACGGGGCGCTGTTAGACGCCCCATAATTTCCATAACGAACACAACGGATAATAACCACAAAACTACAAAAATGTAATAGTAATCAGAATAGTCATAACAATAAAAGCAACAGTAGTAATAGTAATAGCAAGATAAAAGGAAAACAACAATAATCTAGTGATATCTTTATCCTTAGTAATACTAAAGTAATACAAGCAATACCAAGAATACTAATAATGATAACAAGAGCGATGATAACTCTTACCTCAACACCTGCTAACAGCAATAACAATGACAATAACACCGCTAGTACCAACAACAAGACTAACAATAATAGCCAGAGTAATAAAAGGTACAAATCACAATGGCAAAAGTAATACAACGAACACGCTTGAAGTCCTCTCATGTCCGCAATGCCTCGATCTTCTCGCGGCTCTTTTGCATTCTGAGGATCTCCTCACGCATCTGCGCACAGCGCTCCTGGACACGCTGTGGCTTAGTAGGGCCTTTGACAGGTTACAGGCTCAAGGGTTTGGGATTTTTTTGGGCTTGGGGCTTAGGGGCCTTTTCAAAGGGGGTGTTATGGAGTTCCTAAAGGGGCACTGCAAGAGTTACTGTAACGGGGTTCTGCACTGGGAAGTCACAGGGTTCAGGATGTTTTCAAAGGCTCTGCGTGGGCTTTTAAGATTCTCATGGGTGGGCCTTATTTGCTTAGGTCTCAGGGGCCCTTTAAGAAGGCCTTTGCTGGTTTTTCGCGGGGTTTGGGGGATACAGGTTGTAGTCCAGACTCTCATGACGATGTCCAGGGTGAAGCTTGCAGCTTGTGTTTAGGTCTGGGGATCTCAGCCGCAGCATAGACGAGGGTCCGAGTGCTTCAGTGCTGACGACTTTAATGAATGCGACACGACCAGTGAACCCAGAACCCACTTCCGTCCCCTGCCAGAACCTGAACACTTGATTCCACAATCTTATGACTCGCATTGAAGTTGAAACGATATAGCTGTTGTGCATTCGCTAAGTGTACATTATTCATGGATAAAACAAGGACTGATTGTATGGTGCTGTAAGATTTCTGGAACCTGCGCTCGGCACCCTCGTTCATGGTCAGGTTCCCCCCCGTAATCAAAGGCATGCCGTGGCCGCTTCCATAGATTCTGGAGCAAGCTGCTGGCTGCCGAGCCTGGGAAGGCGTAATTGGCCAAGACCGGCATGCCCGCGCGCATGCTCTCTTGAATGATATGAACAAGATAGAAAACAGGGCTGCAACAGTGGCGGCAGCAGCAGCAGTAGCAGTAATGGCGGCAGCAGCAGCAGCTGCAGTAGCAGCAGGAGTGGCAGTGGCAGTCGCAGTCGCAGCAGTGGCCATAGGAGCGGGAGCGGGGGTATGAGTGTGAGTCGGAGTAGTAGTTCTCGTCGTCGTGGTGGTGGTAGTAGAATTAGTTGTAGCGGTAGTGGTAGCGTGGTAGTGGCAGTGGGAGTGGGCCTAGGAGTCGCAGTAGCAGTCGTAGCAGCAGCAGCAGCAGCAGTAACAGTAGCAACAGTAGTAGCAGAGAATACCCATGATGATGCGAACCCCCGCCACTCTCAAGGATTGCGAAGCAATAAGCAGTTTGTTCACGGCGGTGTCATAGCTCCGAACTTCGCATCCAGTCCAAGCCGGGGAGCTGGTTCTTGAGGAGGATATCCACCTCCTTGAGAGATCCTTCCATGGACCTTGGGGCTTTGTAGGCGATTCATGTTGGAGCAGTGGGTCACGAAAACGCTGAAGCCACCCTACGGAAGCACTTGGCGTGTGATCAGAGACTTGCGGAACTCTCCGGAGACGGTCCTGTGATCAGTCCTCTTCCGTGCTTCTGGGGCACGAAACCCGACTCCGAGACATGCGGCAGAAGTGGCGAAGAAATTCAATAGTCCACGGCCCGAGGTCTGGACTCTGAAACCGTGAAAACTTAGGAAGTTCTGCCTCAACAAACATCCCTGGCAGCCTGCATAGGCTTCATAGGTCAGAGGCTTCACGGAGTGCTCCAGCCGATAACACAACCCTCCGGTCAATAGAGCAAAATAACCACACGCTATGTCGGCTGAGCCTACGGCGACAGCTTTCGCTGCATCATCGCATCGGAATATGATCCCGGTGCCGGTGCTGGCATTTTGGTGTGTTCGCTCAGCTTTTCTGGGAGGTCTTGCCCTTTCAGTCGAAAACACTTTCACGCATCACGCCCTGTAGCCGACTCGTGTCCTCCCACTCCAGGCGGATCATACAACCGTTGCGAGAAAAGTGAACCACAAGCACTTCAGATCTTGCGTAGTCATACACGGACAAATGGGCAACCGTTTCGCTCCAATGCATCATTAACGAGGTTACAATTACAACCTTTCCAGTTCCAACCCGCGAACTATTAGCGGGAAGACTTAATCGCAAATTTCCCTGGGCATGTGTCGACGCCTGCTGCTGCTACTGGAAGCAACTAGACAGTTCACGATGCAAAACAACACCAAAGAGATGAATTTCAACTCCACGCCCACAGTGGTGGGTGATTCGGACCCTGCACTGTAAGCTCTGGAAATCCTGAACCCAAAGCGCGCATGCGTTGCCGAGGCTGGTGGTGGACGTTGACGTCGCAACAGACCAGGCAGTGGAGTCGATCGATGCCGGCATTGTTGTCTCACAGGCACACAGGGGACGGAGTAGGGGGGCAGTGATAGACAATGATAGAGCATTCACAGTTGCTTTTGGTTTTTGGTTCGAGGTGAGGGGACTTACATCGTGGCAGCTCAGATTTTGAAGTCTTTCGCCCAGTGGGTGTTGACTGCTTGCGTGAGTGGGCTTTCCAAGGTGAGGTGGCTGAGAGGGCTAGCTGCGCCGACCATGGCCAACTAGCACTGCTTCTTCAATGAAGCCCCCAAAACGAACAAGCTGTCAGGGGCCGCTTCAGATGTCGGGTTCCCTGAAAGGCCTTAACCTGAAGGGACTCACGGCTCGAACCGCGCACCTTGACAGTGGCAGAAAGCTGATCCGGATGGCCTTCAGATCTTAGGGCTTGGGGTCTGGGATGGTGAAAGTTCTGCGACCAGGTCTATAATGTGGATGGTACCAGCATGCAGGATGGACTGCAAAAGGCAAACCACGGTGAAACTCCAAACCTTCCTCTCTCTTCGAAATCCTGATCTCAACATCCCGAAATCCCCAAAAGTCCCAAATCCTGAGCCCAAAGATGCCAACCGCGCTCAAACGCTCCGAAAGCCAAGGATTCCTCACCATGAAACCTGAAGCCTACCGGAAACTGGTTGAAACCCACTGAAACGCATCGTCTGTATCTTCGCCTTGTGGTCGAAATGTGGCCTGGTCGAGCAGTGGATGAAACTGTCTGATGTGAAGGAACACTTGTTTTTGGGCTGGGCTGGGTTTGCGGTTTGGAACCCTTTGAGTCGGACACCTTCGGAAGGTGTCCTTTTGACCAGCATGTGGATTCGGGCACAGGATCACAAGGCAAGACACGGAAACCCATTACAGGCCAATGGACTTGGTGCCTGTGGCACACGAACGAGTGACGGCGCAAGCGCATCCCACTCGAACGGTCGCGAAATTTGCCATTGCCCTCGAAATAGTGATCCCAGTAGGAGCGGCGGCGGTGGTTGCAGTTGTGGTGGCTGTGGTGGTGTTGGGCGTAGCACACGTGGAAGTAGTAGCAGTGATTAGGTGGCGGCACAATGAGCAGTTGATGGTAGTGGTCGTGGAGTGGTGGTGTGGTACCACTGGTATTGCCGGAACTGCTGCTATAGAACTGCTGGTACTGCTGTCACCGCCGGTGCTGCTGGTGCTGCTCAGCAGTAGCAGCAGAGCGGCGGAACACTGATTTGCAAATTCCCTCTGATGTTGAACAAAAACCAGGAAGCGGGATTCCCGGCGGCGTGAGCCGGCGCCAAGTGTGGCCGTGCAGTGTGACCTGGTCAACTGGGCATGGAATATGATTTGAGAAGTGCCCAGATCCTGTGGACGGGATACATCTTAGAATCTTCTGGGGTGCCCTGACTTACGAGATCCGGCTGAGGATGGCGGAGCTGAATTGTTCGTTTCTACTTTCACTTACTACAGCAGCACATCTCCCCGCAAAAAAGTATCAATGCAGGATCAGGATAGCACATGGTGTGATTTCTGAGGAGTAGGAGTCCGGAGTCCAGCTCACAAGTGCCTGAAAGGAAGAACCGCATGAAGGGAGCGTGTTCCCTGCCACACCGAGGGGAACGCCTGTGGTTTGCTCCCGGAAGTTGGATCCATCCTGGCTTCTGCACATGGCTTGCGTGTGGAGGCTAGTGTATCATTGCTGGAAACAAACTTAGATCTGAATCTGCCCTGGACATAGAGACGAGGCCGCTGAGCGGGGGGTTCCTGCATCGGACTCGAAGTGTGCTTGACCCTGACGGCTCGACCGCAAGAACCTCCAAAGGTCAAAGATGAAAGACATGCCCGACAAGCCAAGCGGTCAAGGAGGGCTTTGCCTTCGTAAACCCAAGGAACCGATCAAAGCTGAATCCTGCTTCAAGTCACAGCTCACTGCCTGCATCTGCCGAACGAGGGCGTTTGCTGGGTTTGGCATTGTCTGCCTTCCGGGATCCGGACTGATGCTTGCCCGGCACTCGCCTACGTTCGTTCCGAGAACTGTTCCGCCCTGGGTCCATGCCTGCCCACTCTGTTTGTTGCGTTTGTTTCTTGATTTTGGTTCTTCTGTTTGTTGTGTGTGTGTGTGTGTCTGTTTTGTTTTTTGTGTGTATTGTTTTGTTTCGTTTTGTTTTGCTTTGCTTGTTTTGCATGTTTTGACTGTTTGTTTGTCTGCTTGCTTGTCTGCTTGCTTGTTTGCGAAGGCTGTTGATGCCCATGTCGGAGCATGGCAAGCTGCAAAAAAACAACCCAAGTCTGCAAGCAGCACGTGAAGACTCTTCTTTATGGCTTTGATCCAAATCTCAAACCAAAAGGCACGGGACATCTCGCAGGCACCAATCATCCCAGTACAAGGGCGAGATCAGACTCTAAAGGAAGTCCTGGCAGCCCATGCACTTCTTAGCTTTTTTCCACCCAAACGGAGACACTTACAGCACGAGGTTCCACCTCAGGCGCACCTTCAAGGCCCTACCTTTGTTACGGTGTTTCCCCGTCGTTCCTCTCCTCGGCACTCGTCTACGTGAGTTCTGAGAACTGTTCAGCCCTGTCCAGGCCTGCCAACCGCGGCAAGCAGACGACTCTCTACTCTACGGCTTAAGCGGCAGGACTCGTATCTTCAGTGGGTCTGTGAGCTGCAAGCCGCGAGGCTCTGGTTTTGAACTCGGCCTTGGGCTTGCTGCGGCCTTTTGAGTAGAGTTCTTAGTGAAATTTGCCCGTGACATGCAATTTCTATGGCCTTATGCATTGCACTTGTAGTGTTGCAAACAGTGTATAGAGCTAGCAGCATACCGTTGTTCTTTTCGTGTTAAACAGACACGGTGTAAATGCCTCCCGCGTGGCGTTCATGATTTCAATTCAGCCTGGCTGATCCGCCCCACTCGAGCCAAGATTCAGGGACCACACGGCGATACCCAATGAAACCTGCATCGAAAGTTCTGGGACTGGCTGCCAACAATCTGTCCTAACTATACTATACTCTACCCGACTCTGCTACATTCTGCTCTACTCCACTCTACTCTCCTGTACTATACCTCACCATACTATACCTTACTATACAAAACTATGCTGCACCATGCTATGCTATACTATGCTATGCTATGCTTTACTATACGATGCTCTTCTATACTATACGGTACTATACTCTACTAGACTATGCTATGCTATGCTGCGCTACGCTAGACTATACTGTGCTATACTATGCCATTACTATACTCGATTCTACTATACGCTAGTCTACTCGAGAATACTGTGCTGCGCTTTACTAAACTTATTAGGCTACACGATACACTGCAGTACCAACTAGACGGTATGGTACGATACGATACCATACGATACTACACTGTACTATGGTATGGGTAGTTGTCAAAAATCAAGGTCCCTGTTTGGGTATGCTAAATAATAGGTGCGTATTATAATAGGGACCCAAAAGGGGACCATAATTTTGACAACCACCCCTATACTTACATCTAAAGCGTTGAAGACATTCGGCCTTGGATCTTCGTCCTGGGCTCTCGGGGTCGCACAAAGGACAACGGCTTCGGGAAGCTATGACGACCGAACATAGGTGCCGTAATTTCCACAGTGGGGTTCTTGTGGAAACTATAGAAGAATAAGGACCATCAGGAGAACAATATTCCTAATTGCTTAGGCCTCTATGTGGGCAGTTCTGTACATTAGGGTTCCTGTAGGTCCCAAAATAGTACGGCACCCTTATAAAAAGGATCCTAAACGGACCATAATTTCTGAGAACTAGCCATATGATGCGGCCTGCACGCTCCTTCCTTTGGCCGCCGCCCAGGTACAGTTCAAGCTATGGCAACATGAAGAAACGCAAACTTCAAGCCGATCCACTTCCATCTGCCAAGGCCTTTACGAATCATTTCTAAGGCTGGTGCTGCTTCCATTGCTGTCAGAAACATGGGGCACGAGGCGTAAGCAAGTCTGTGGCCCCAGCAGGGAAGACCATACTTCGAGCTGAAAGCATCGTGCCACGAGTTGTGGTCTTCCTTTCCAACTCCTCTTTTTTAAGGGCCTTCAATGCCCAACTCCACAGAACGTCACTGGCCCCATGTCTCAAGATTCGGCTTCTGATCTAACTGTCTCTCTTTACCGGAGCCAAAGAACTCAAGCCTCAAAAAATCTTTGGTGAGAGAAGGTTGCATTTCAGAGCGCATCTCATTTCAGGGCCGCCTCGATCGCCGCGTAGTGGGGTACCTCAAGGGTTTTTAGGGTTTAGGGTTTTCGATGTTTCCGAAGCTCGGAGCAGGCTCATGAAGTGCAGCAGAATGCCCGGGTAGAATTCCTTCAGTCCAAGCCCAAAACCACTCATTGCCAACTCAACCTCTTCAACCGTGATCCGAGGACCCATCCCATCTCAACCCCGACCCCCCGCCCCCCCCTCCCCATCCGCGCCGAGTGGACGTCGCCGTAGGCCGCCAGCGAAAGCTTCGATCCCAGGATCTTCTTGGCAGCCGCTGTGACCTCGAGAGCAGAAGAGTTGGCGGAGGAATTGGGCCAAGTCTTGCTGTGACGGCGAGGTTCGCGCAGCAACAACCACAACAACCACAACCACCACCATCGCCGCCACCACCGACCACGACCACGACCACGACCACGACCACGACCACGACCACGACCACGACCACGACCACGACCACGACCACGACCACGACCACGACCACGACCACGACCACGACCACGACCACGACCACGACCACAGCAAGCGCGGCTGGCAGTGCATGTTGAGATTTGGTTCCAGGCCTTCTCGATAGTATAGCCGCTCAAAGGGTTGTTTATTCCTCCAAAGCGCCTTAAATCCGAATCAGAAATCCGTCGAGCGCTGGAGCCCGAACAACCTGAGGAACCGCAAACCTAAGCCTTCTCACCCTAACCCCTCCAACCCCAACCCTCAAACAAACCCTCCATGCCGAGAGGCATCCGCTTCCGTCACGCTGTCGATGATCTTGCCGAACTCCGCCGCCGAACCGTACCTCGGGCAACGAGCCTTCATGATTAAAGTAGGGTTCCTTCGCAGCTTCTGCTACTCGGCTCCTGTACCCGGGGGGTTTGAGAGTTTCGGGGGTTTCGTGGGTACACATCACCCTGGTTCGGCCGCTTCAAGCACGGGGCCCCCGCTTGCCAGTGAGCAAGATCTGCTGGCCCATGTCCTGCTGGGAGTTTCAAAAACAAGGGAGGTACCAATTCACACAGGGGCCTTCATGATTGGGCTCGGTCCGCAGAAACCTGATCTTTCATTCAACTTGGCATCTGTCAAATCTTACCGCCACCTCCTGCTAGAACAACATCCATTCAAACTCCTAACCTTTGGGCCCCCGCCAAGACCTTCCTAATCTCGGACCTCTAAACCCAGAGACTCCAATATCCCCTAATTGAGGAATATACCTTAATCCCTTCCCCCTTTACTAAACGCCCCCCTAATACTACAAACACATTGCCGACACCAAGACATGCAACGCATTTCGACAAGCTTGGCTTGTATTCGCTGACTCTCTCTGCAGTACAATTCGATTGTGAGAAGTCTAACGGCATAGTGTTTCTAAATCAGACACCAATAATTAGTCTTCTTGGTATAGCATGCAGGAGCTGGCCACAAGCCTGCATCAGCTCACTGTCGTCGTCTGCCTTCCGGATGGGCGGCTAGGGGGCTCAGGGGGCTCAGAGGCTCCGGTGCTCCGAATTCCAAGCCTCCCTGCTTGAGAGCTCGAAGCCCGAAGCGGAACTGGCCTGGCGGAACATCTTGCCCTTCAGCATGGCCTTTGCCTTTGCCAGCTCCTCCTGGCTCGGCGGTTTTAGGGCAAGTTTCCGGCCCCGTTCTACTTCAGGGCCTCCGATGATGGCATCAAAGGTGCTGGGGATTTCGACTTGGCATCCACCAAAGCTGCGGACCACCGCACGCAGTTTCTCGCGTACGAGCTTGCCACTTGTGGCAGTGCTTCTTGGTTGCCCGAACCTTCTTTTTCTTGAATCTGCCGCTAGCTTCGTCGGGGCCCTCAGAAGAATTTACGGATGAATGGGAAATCGTCCATCCCGAAACCTTGCAGACCTGCGACGCATCATTGGCCCCACCATTTTCAAAAGGCACTCATGTGGGCCAAAAACCCCTGAAACTCAAGCCCTCCTTCTGCCCCCACACCGAGAGCAAAACAAAAAAGCTGCTTTCCCTGACGTGCCTTGCTAACGCTGGAGAGGCCCTTGAGGGCAGATGCCATGGCCATAGCCATGTCAGAGGCCTCGTCGTTTGAAGGACGTGGGGACTCATATTATGCCATAGCATGTTACATCCTTTCATAGTGTCGTATATTAGGCTATGTTATATGATATTTTACAACATTATGCTGTGAAGCTTCAGGATGTTGAAGCCCAGCGTACATCCCAAAACCCCCAAAAAGTCCTGAACTTTCACCCTCGCGGCTTCTCCCGTGAGAAACCCTAAAGCCCAGCCTTCTCAGCCTGGCAGACTCCGTAGACACCGAAGAGGCCGGAGTCCGAGTACCTGACTTGGAGGATCATGGGACTTAGTAAGTAAGGTTTAGGGCTCCTTTTAAGGGTACTATAGGGTTCTATAATAGGATTCCTGAAGGGGATCTATCAGGGTTCTAGAAGGAGGATCATGGGACTTAGTAGGGTTTACGGGTTCCTCTTAATAAAGGTACTATAGGGTTCCATAATAGGGTTCCTTAAAGGGACCTATAAGGGTTCTAGAAGGAGGATCATGGGACTTAGTAAGTAGGGTTATAAGTACCTTAATTCGGGTTATAAGTAACAAATACTGTAGTTACTTCACTAAACACCCTACTTACTAAGTCCGATGATCCTCTAGGGAGACATCTCGAGTGTCCTCTAAGCTCAGGGTGATAGTGTTGGCACCTAGGCTTTCGAGCCGTGGCAGCAGTGGGAAAACAGAGAGGTCCCTTACGGGCAGGCCCACCGTTTCAGGATCCTGCTGCCTTGATCCACAAACTTGCAAGGCATCAAGGGTCCCAGCTTGTCTTGGGCTCCAAGTTCCCGGATCCCACCGATGAGGGGCACGAGGTGTTGAAGGCTGCACATGACTCGACGTAAGGGCTCTGTCTGAGCACCTGGCAAGAACTGCTAGGTGGTCTTCTTACTCTGTGACTCAAACATGTGTCTCCCGAAGCTCCCAAAAGGCTTTGTATCCTAGAACTCCGGCCTGCAGACATCCAGAGGAAGAGCTTGGGCCGGAGGCATGATAATCAACTGCATTTTGAGTTTTGGCTTCCATTCTACCTTGATCCACGCTCCTATTCCTCCGGATGCTGCTCTCACGTGATGCACTTCCTTCCTGCGGATGTTGCGTTGGTTCAACCACAAATTTACGAGCACAACGACACGTTCAGAGTGCCATTCCATGGGTGAATTGCAACACTCTTCCTTTCACGCATGAGGCACTTCTGTTTCAGACGTTCACCAATCCTTTGACAACATTTCCCGAGGTGAAATCCGCCTGCGTGGAAAGCCGGGAAGTGACCCCGGAGCCAATGCCGCTGTAGATTGCGGAGCCTCCACCCAGCAGGGCCTGCGCTTGGGACTTGGGGGTTTGTATGTCGAGGATGTTGCAGGAATTTGCGATGCTTACGTTCACGGCCGCAGATGCACCAGGGCACCCTTGGCACAGAATGCCAGCGTGGATGCCGTTTACCAGCACCCGCGGCAGCACCATCGCCATCGTCAGCAGCACCACCAGCACCAGCACCAGCAACACCATCAGCACCATCAACACCATTGTTACAACAGCAGCAGCACTGCTGTCTCCGTCACGTGTGTACAGCCATGACAATCGAATGCATAAGAGACGGAACCACAGTCGCACATGGTGTCTCATGAATGCAAAGGATAACGATAAGCAAGTTGAGCCAAAGTAGCAATGTTGCAAATTGACGTAGCATCTCAAGGCTCCAGAACATGCAGGAGGTGGCGCTGAACTCAACACAAGCGCTTGGAGGGTAAACCAAAGTGCAACATAGGGGCCTGAATAACTGGAATAGGGTTTCGGGGTTTCAGGGTTTCAGGGTATACTAGACCAAAGACATGAAACGGAACCCAGAGGAATATTATTGGTAATTCTTGGGGCTTCTGTATTACAGGCGATCGTCTCCCAGCCTGGACGAGGGCAACCGGGGCCAACTCGGTTTGTCCAAAGGCTGTGGATTCAAACCTGAGTCGCAGCCGGCTCTTTCGGGAATTGGATTCTGCAACCATGCCCTCCAATAGAGTTTCATGTGGATTTCTGCTGCCCAGTAGCTCCTCAAAGTGCGGAGATCTACTTTTGAAAAGAAGCAGCAGAGGCTCAAAGTTCCCGACCGTGCTGGTGATGCTTGCCATCGCGACACCCAAACACATCGTACAACAAAACACCAAAGTAATCACATGCTGTTGACAGCCCTCGGCTGCATGACGGTCATGAATGCGGACCCACACCTGCAATGTCATGTAGGCTCAGTGTACGACTAGACAGACTAGGGTGACATGGCGATGATGGCAAGAGTTGCTTCTCATGGATATCTTAGGCGCCGAGCAACCTACTCAAAGAACACCAAACTGTGCTGCGACCCTGAATCTTTGTTGCCCCTGCCCCACCACTTATTCGTTGTATGAGTATTACTGTTGCTACTAATTTTAGGTCACACCCCCCCCCCCCATGATCCACCCCAGCCTTCTCCTCAACTACTCCTGTACTGTCCTCTGGTACAAGATGCGTATTGCTAAAGTCAGAATCTATCGGTATTTACGCTGTTTTATGCAGTTCATGTACATGTACAAATGCGGCTTTTCGCTTTTTATATCATAAACAAACAAGCCAAAACCGAAACCAGATTCTGGTTCTGGATTCTGGTTCTGCTGCCGCGCTCTTGTCCACTGCTTCGTATCAGCTCTTGCTGTTCAAGTCAAAACTTGGCCTTCCTATTTTGGAGTCGAACTACTTACGATGTACAGTTTGAATAGACACAGCTGCTCTTCTCTTCATAACATAAGCTGTAAGGACAACTCCTTCAGTGAAAGCAAACATGCCAGTGGTATGTTTGGCTTACTAGCAACATTGTAACCACACTAAACAGAGGTGTTGCCCATCAGACATGGAAAGGAATCCCCGTGTATCTTCATGCTTCAAGGGAACCTCGAACAACATCATATCTTCAAAATTTCAACCGACAAGGGAAGCATGGTTGTTCTTGTTCAGGTGGTGTTATCAATAGAAATCTTGTTTCAGCACAAAGAAACACAATAAGCCACCTTAGTCCCTTATCAGTCGCTGGAACTCAGTGGCTGGAACTCAACGAGCTCTTGCAGTATACCAATACCACAAAATCGGAGTGATTAGGGAAAGACATGGTCTCCCTCCACCAAACTCCAAATACATTCGGTCACAAGCATAGTATGTCGAGCTCCTTACGCTTTATACTTCGTGGGAATTAAGACAAGCATGTATCTGGAAAGCATTCGTTATTGAACACATTTGTTTTTTCTTTTTAACAGATGCAAGACGATCCTGGCTCAGAACACATAATCGAGCTCCGTTGCACCGCGCTACTCGCAAGAGTTATATAGCTCCTGCCATCTTTGAATACAGCATGAATACAGCATGAAACAGCTCCAGACCTCTCCTCATAGCCTCCAAGAAATGGTGGAAAAACATCTTTTCTCATTATGCTTTAAGGAAAACAGTCAAACACTGGACTTACTTCTTGAGCAAGGTTGACCTTGACTCGGTTATGATTTTGCTCCAGGAGAGAAGAGTTGGTACCGCCAGTAATCGAAGCAATTGAAAGCTCATTTACCAGGTTCCCCAGTGTCGCCTGAATGGCACCTTATATGTAATGATATGAAATATCGGAGCTTATCAGCTTCTTCAGTTTGTGAGGTAATATAGAATACAAGGAATACTTCTTCTTTGTTCAAGCTACGGGCAAGAGTTTAAGAACTCGACAGCATCTAAACATGATGTACAGTTCAACGAACATGTGCATTCACAAAAAAAAACGTTCTTGTAAAGCATTCACAAACACAAGCAGGCTTCAATATTCTAAAGTACAGCTGTTCTTCTATTTCTTACATTGAGCAAAGGTGATCTTAACAACAGCTATGACTTTGTTCGATGAAAGAAGCAAGAGCACACTTGAGAACGGAAGCAATTGAAGGCTCATGTATGAGCACATGGTACGGCTGTTCTTCTATGACTTTTGCACTTCAGGTTTCAGGAATCTTGGAGATTCGAGCCTGGCAGTGTTTTCGCATCCGAGGTTGCCAAAACACCGCCAGGCACCAATTTCCCCAAACTTTGTGAGGCTGGAAGTGCCAAAACCTCGCCAGGCACCAATTTCCCTAAAATCCCCAAAATCCTGGCATCTATGGAGGCCGTCAGAGTTCAGCTGTATGAATTTTGGGGAAATTGGTGCCTGGCGGTGTTTTCGCATCCGAGGTTGCCAAAACACTGCCAGGCACCAATTTCCCCAAAGTTTGTGAGGCTGGAAGTGCCAAAACCTCGCTATGCTCCAATTTCCCCAAAATCCCCAAAATCCCGGCATCTATGAGGCGTGCCGGGCCATAGTTGCTCAGAGTTTGGGATTTTTGGGGAAATTGGTGCCTGTCGATGTTTTCGCACTTCCGCCTTTGCAAACTTTGGGGAAATTGGTGCCTGGCAGTGTTTTCGCATCCGAGGTTGCCAAAATACTGCCAGGCACCAATTTCCCCAAAGTTTGTGAGGCTGGAAGTGCCAAAACCTCGCTATGCTCCAATTTCCCCAAAATCCCGGCATCCATGAGGCGTGCCGGGCCATAGTTGCCCAGAGTTTGGGGATTTTGGGGAAATTGGTGCCTGTCGATGTTTTCGCACTTCCAGCTTTGCAAACTTTGGGGAAATTGGTGCCTGGCAGTGTTTTCGCACCCGAAGTTGCCCACCTCCCATGATCCACTGTTTGCAAGAAGCAGGTTCGGGTGGATCATGGGGGAGCTTTTAGGTCACTAGTACTTTTCATATGATTATATCTACTAGTTCACTACTCCTACCAGTGCGATTACCCTTATACTGTTCCTATTACTCTTGCGGCCATGGGCCTCAAGCGGAATGCTGAGGCCTCTGCCCGAGCGCCAGGTGGCAATAGGGGGAGGCTCCCTCGAGGCGCATGTCGCCACCCGTGTACTGCGCCTGAAGCCCAGAGTCGCAGAGACTCCAATAGCCCTTAATTGAGGGAATATACCTTAAATCATATTTCGGTTCCTATGATCACTTAAGGCATATCCCTTGATTGAGGAATTCTCCCTAAATTCTGGTAGGATCCCTAGTTTGCTTTAAGGTATATACTCCCTGATTGAGGGCTATGGGAGTTTTCTGGCAGCTCCGGCTTCAACCCGCAGTCGACGCTTCCGGGAAAGGTCTCACTCGACTATTTTGCTTCCAGGTGGAGGATGAGAGAGAGAGTATCATGGGAGTTTCCGAAAATTAGGGGTACCTTATTTAGGGGTCCTTAAGAGAGCCGCGGACTTGCCCTGTTTTCCAAGTCAACATGATTTGGGAAGGATCAGGGACTCCCCACGAATGTGTGCCACAGGCAATCAATCCCGCCGTCCTGTACGTGTGCTTAGGCGTCCGCGACCCGCCCTTTAGGAGCGGGTTGCGGGAAAGCTCTTTCAGTTTCGTTGTAAGGTTTGCTGCGGCGTGCTTGTCATTGAGAATACACATCTTTCCAGGAACAGGATTTCCCATTTTTGTTGTAGTGAAGCTCGCGGAGACAAGCAATGCGAGCGACGAGAACCCTGGCAGAAACCATTCACCGCAAAGCTTAAGCTTGACAACCAAGAAGCCTACAGAAGAACTGCTGCACCGCACACGGCAAGCAGAGTTTGAACCGGGCGACAGCAGCACAACAGCTCGTGCCTTCTTGTCCTCGCGCTTCTTCAGAGGAATGGCGTTGTAGTCTGCGAAGGCACCTGAATAAACGCGAGAGAGAGAGACTGCATGTGACTGTGAGGGGTGGGTAGTCCTCAGATTGCGCATGCTTCAACTCCACAGTTCCTGATGGGCCTGAAGCCCCCCTACAACTGCACCCTGGGGCCTCAACAATCAGAGTAGGCTCTTGAGGATCCTGGTGTGATGATATAGGGGACTATGAAGGAGATTCTACTGAATTGGTAATGATCTCGAGAATTGCCCGTGCAGCCGTGGCACGCATGACCCACTTGGAGAGTTCCGCATGGTCAACATTGACACCAACGAAAACCATTCGCTCCTTGAAGCTGCGAGGATTTAGGGCTTGGGGTTTCAGGTCTGAGGTTTAAAATCTAAGGATCTGAAAACTGTGGTTCTTAACCCCACGAAGATCGGTTTATTGTCTGGGGTTTAGGGAGGACATGCGCAAGACTCCCAGCACCCTGCTGCCGGGTATCGGGAGCGAAATGGTCCAGCATGTAGGTGCGGATTGTTTCCGGCGTGAAGTAGCCCATCGACCTGCAGCTGTAGCTTCAGAACTCGACGTGCAATCAACTGTGGATCATCGTACTGTAACCTATTCTTTGCAAGTTGCCAAGCAACATGTCCAATGTGCTCAAATGCCGCTAACCGCCTAGACTCGGGCGTCCCATTCTGCAGGCACGTCGATGTAACATGATGACTGATGCTTTAGTGCCAACCGCCCTTTAAAGCGTGACGCCTCGGCTATGTCAGGTGGAAGTCATGGGCTTCACGGAGACCCCCTCCTGAAACCCTCGTGCAGCCAAGAGGCCGCTCACTGGCGAAGGGACTGAGGCCCAGCGTGTTGTTGCAATAGGCGGCCTTCCCCGGCCAGGTAACCAGCGGGGGTTTGGCAGGGTGCACACGCGCCTAGCTCAAAACTCGAAGAGTCAGGGTTCCCTGCTCCCTGCTGCTGTTCATGTGTTCGTTGCGGTGAGCCGCTGCTGCCCTCGCAGCCTGATTAGGAATTCACACGTTCTAAGCTGCCTCTGCACGCCCGAGAAATTTTTGGCCGACTTTTCCTGGGGTCTGATGCCAACCGATGTGGAAAAATACCGTCGTTCAACACGTTGGCGAACTTCTGCTCGAGCCATGTGAATGGCGTATCCGCCGAATGCATGCATCACCCGGACGTTGTCCTTCATTCGGGTGGTTGTCAAAATTATGGTGCCTTTTTGGGTCTCTAATATAATACGGCACCTAATATCCAAAAAAGGACCCTAATTTTGACAACTACCCATTCCGATGCTCAAACCCGGAGAGCCCTGGCTTGCGCCTTGTGGAGCAACTCGCTGACCATTGTGTCTGCGTCTTTGGTCAGAGCCTCGCACGGAGAAATCATGATGATCATCATGATCATGATCATCGTCATCGGGACCACCATCAGCAGAATCAACATGCTGATCTCTTCATCATCACTGCCGTCCACTCTCTTCAGCACCATACTCACCTTCCCGTAATCGGGAGCAGCATGGTCGTCGTCATCACCAACATTACCATCGTCGACATGGACATCATCACTCTGTACGCCATGACTCAAAGTATCGTTATCGGCAGCAGCACCCTCATCTGATCATCTCGGTCACCACGCAGTCGGAAAGTATATTCAAGCTCCCGGATAGACTCAAAACAACTCTCGGGTGCTAGGTAGCAGGTAGTGGCGAGCGGTGGCACTGCTGGCGCGCTGCTGCTGCTGCTGCTGGAACTCCCAAGGACCGCGGCCAGCATCGAAGGGACATTTGCAAACTTCTTCGTGTCGCGCGCGCTGCTGCTGCCTGGCCTGCTTCGCGGTGGGTACGTCGGACTGTGCGGCCTTCACCTCCCACGGCCTTGGAGTCGCTCCGCCGGGCTTTGAGGCGAGACCCCCCCCCCCCCCGCTGCAAATGTCAGAAAGCGAGGCTTTCTATTGAGGGTTAGAGATGGTTGAGGGTTGAGGGTTTAGGACGTGTAGAGCTGATAATTGAATAGTGGTTTCGTAGTGGTTAGGGTTTAGAATTTCGGGATGCTTCAGGGTTCCAGGTGTCTAATTCAGAGCTTCGGGTTCTACGGTGCCAGGGCTTTGATGATTTGGTGAGCCCTGGGTGTTGTTTGCATTTCAAAGTTTTGGCAGTTGGAGCTCACTCCGGGGTCAGCTCCCGAAAATTCCGGAAGCTGTTTACAAGATGCATGTTCTTGTGAGTTTTGGGGCATGCACTAGATTCGTTGTACAGGCTTCGCGTGCTTTCCATCCCTGCCCAGGAAGCTATTGACCTAAGGAATGCTCGGGTACATGTGGCGTTCTAGGAGCCCTCCAATTCCTCAAGGGCGGGCAGGGAAGGCGACGGATTCATGGTGCCAGGTCCGAGTAAGAAGAAGCAGGCAAACCCCAAATGCCCCCTTTGCAGGGGAGAGCCAAGGCAACCCAACCCGAGCCTTACAGTCCAAAAGGCAGCAGGCGTGGGAAAAGCACGTTGCCGATCATGAGGGGCACGGCAAGGGGCATGTATTCACGCTGCAGCTCTACCTGTCCGAAAGAGGGGAGCGGATAGCAAGGATATAATGGAGGCTTTCTGGTGATGTTCTGTGACCATGGCACTGTCCACCAGATGCACTTCCAGGTGGTGAAGGCTATGCGGTACAAACAAACCACCGATGCAAAAAGAGACACTGACACGCAAAGAGATAAAGACCGAGAGAGAAACACTGAGACTGAGATAGAGAGAAAGAGAGAAAGAGAGTAAGGGAGAAAGAGAGAGGGAGAGAGGGAGAGAGGGAGACAGAGGGGGAGAGAGTGAGAGAGAGAGAGAGAGAGAGCCGCACACATTATGACTGGCTCATGATCTATCTCTCTAACTCAACTGCCCCTCGAGAAAGCAGGCAAAAACGCTGCCCCCTCTTTAGTAAATCGATCGTTTCGAGGGCAAGCGCCAGATACTCGAGCTGCATTACTCGTATGGTTGCTGACACCTCTGATGCCTGGCGACGCTGGCACATGCTCGGAAGGACTGGCAAAAACCGACAGACACTTGCAGGTGCACGCTCCTATCCACAAATCGTTGATAAGTGTGCGAATGCTGCGCAGGTCGTGGAGTTCCGGCGGGCGCCTGATAAGCGATCTCCTCCCGACCTGCCGTGGCCGAAGAGCTCAGGTGGGCTCCAAGCTGCTCCAGGGTCTTCACCGTCCTGCACGGCGGGGGCCAGCGGAGCCAACCCTGACTCCTTGCACGAAGAGTGAATGGAACACCTTGCTTCTGCAGCTGCGGCATCTGGGAAAATGGCATGCTGCTTGCTCTGCGGAAACTCGCCTCTGTCGACACACAGCCTGCCAAACCTACGGCTGGCGTTGCCATCACCGCCACACACCACCTCAACCACCACCCCTGCTTGCAGCCCCGAATAGATTGCTCGCTGTGGCGCTTGCATGCAACCATTCGGCACTACTATCAGAAGTGCGGCTTCATCTAGTATGAGCATATTGGCAGCTCTAGTAACACTAGTAAGCTCGAAGTTTGTCATCCGTTGATTCCGCAAGCCGAATTGGCAAACCCTGATTCCACTGGTTGTGAGCCTGAGATGGCTCAAATGCGCAGTGGAGCGATAGCCCATGAGGGCGGCCATGTGGGCCACGCCCAAGTTGCCTTCCGCTAGCTTCGGGTCTTGGCTTCGGATATGAAGGCATAGGATATGTAGCAGCGGAAATGGTCAGTCCGAATGGGTTTGGTCTGTTGCACCTCGAAGTCGAAAAAGTCCCTCGACTTCTCTTCCGGAAGATCTAGCTCAACAAGCCGCGCAATCGCACTTCCGCGGACCCAGCTGAGGTGGAGAAATTCCCAAGGTACAAAACACAAAAGGCAGGCAGGCGGCTACTCTTCTGCAGACACTTCAATCATAGTATTTGGGAGCTTCCGAAAGTTAGGGGCACCCTATTTGAGGGTCCCTATAATAAGGATCCTACTATTTAGCGTACTATATTTGGATCCCCTATTTTCGGAAACTCCCATTTACTGCCGAGTTCACCTGGCAACTTCTCAAGCTCGCCTGCCGCATTGCCAAATGAGGATACATCAACAATCCAAAGAAGATGCCAGAAACACAGGCCACCGCGGATTCTCCTTTCTGCCCAAAAGCTAGTGAGATTCCTGATGCCAAGAGCTCGGCGACAGACTACAGGCTTCAGCTTGGCGTCTTCAGCTTGACAGCAAACTTCTAACGACACAATCACCGCAGAAACCTTCCAAGAAAACAGCTGTACACACAGGGCAATGTGCGTAGCTATGAACCCGCAGAGATGTGTCCATGTACAGGCACGTGACGTGTGTATACACCTGGGGCAATTTTGGATGTCTGGCCTGGCACCTCAAATCGAGCGCCTGCCTGCACGTAGAGGCCTCGGTCAGGGGCAGACCGCTCAGAGCCGAAGAAGCTATGAACTCTCCCGCCTTTTGGAGAAGTAACATGAAGACATGAAGTAAGACTTGCTTGCAAGTACACGCACTTGAACGTTTTGGCCTTCCAGAAAGACTCTCCGATGACTCTCAGGCATCCGTAACAACACGTCGCAATATGCATGCTCGAATATTCCTAGGGAGCCCATATTCACGCACCAATTGAATTCCACTCAAAATGCAAAAAAGCAGGTGTCGAGCAATGGACAGGACCCTAACATAGAGACCCCATCGGCACAGTAAGATCTGAGAATCAAGGATGCTGCAAGCGCGGCCGGATTGCCACAGTCCCGTGAAGAGACCACCAAGTCTTGGACCCCGAAGTCGAGCGGCGCGCGCGCGGAATTAGAACGCGGCTGAAAGCGTAGGGAGACGAATGGAATCCAGAGGGCAAGGCAAGTTGAAAGGGCCCCAGCCCCCCTTTTTCCCCCCCCCCCCCAAGGGCCCTAATCCTTACCTTCGGTTAGTAGGGAATGGAAGAATGGTAGTAATAGTAGTTATAATTGTACCCCATTCCTCCATTCCCTACTAACCGAAGGCAAGAATCCTGAAGACCCAGCCCCAAAAAGCCCTGAGGCCCTCGGCCCAGGCGAGCCGTGAGGCCCTGCTTGTCAATGGAGGCGATCTTCATACCTGGGATAAACACCACCTAAAATGCAAAAGTATACCATAATGTACTATAACATACTATAACATACTATAATGTACTATAATATACTAGAATATACTATAATACACCATAATATACCAGAGTACACAATGATAATATACTATGATATACCACGATATGGTAGTGCACTGTAACATACTATGATCAACTCGGATATACCATGGAGCTCTGAAGAAAGACCCCATTTCAGGGTTTGGGCATGGTGTAGCCCTAGTAGCTTTCCCTGTCCAGGGAGGTCTAGAATAGCCTTGATCTTCGGAATTGGGTGGCTTTACTTTCAAGCATAAAAGTGAGGCATCAAATGGTATCAATGATATCAAGATGGTGCTTCTGCAAGCTATAATGACGTGGCACGCGCGAGCCGCCCGGAATTGCAAGAAAAAAGTAGCAGCGAGATGACGCTGTACCACGTTTTGTCATGTTGCAGCACTGTGCACAGCATCGTGCCACATGCCATAGCAAGTGCAATTGCGAGTCGGAACAAGTAGCGGTGCATCACAATGTGCTAATCATGCTACACAACAGGCCTCTCATACCTGTTGCAGACTCGGGTGTCTATGGCAGTCTATGGCATTGAAGACCTTACTTTTCAAGACAATACCTCGTGCAGCACCCTGTGCCTTCCCCTACAGTCTCTTGTGTGTGCAACATCCCGATGCATCCCATTATAATGACTTGCAACTGCCCGCTATCCCAACTTGTCGCAGTCGTGCCCGATCTGGTACTTTTAGATACATTCTGCAAACGACCAATGCAGTTTAGCATTCTTTGGTAGATTGCCCTGCCTGCCATCAAACTCCATAACACCTCCGAGGGCTTCCGAAAGAGAGATCGCAACTTCTAGCAGCTCACCAACATCTTCCACTTGCCGGCAAGCAGCCATTCTCGAGTTTGGAGAACTCGAACTTCGGCTGCGTCAGGGCAGGTGCAGGCGGGTCCAACAAAATGCTCCTGTCCAACGTGGTGCCTGCAGGGGAGAGCAGAGCTTGAGCGGCTTTCTCGAAACTTGGGTTGTCAGGTATGTGCCTTCAAGATGCCTAACGATTACTAACACTGTCGTAGACCGGACGTTTGGCTTAGCTTGAGCGCAGGGCGTAACAATGGGGATCCAGTTTTTGGCAGAAAGGAGCATCACCAGTCTCCCCCTGGCCTTGGTACGGATTGGGCTCAGCCTCCTTGAACTCATAGAAGCTATAGTCTGGCAACTCCATCATCACCTGGCCCGGCAAGGAGGAGATGTTTAAAGCTAGGCTGTAATACTTATGATTACCATAATGATAGAGGGACGATGAGGGGCATGCTATTACTGATTGTTCGGACCCCAATTCGGGATCGAGTAGATTCAGGAATGAGCACGTCTCCGGGAAAGGCATGCGGTTTGAGCCTTGAAGGGGTCAAGCGGTTAGCAGCGAAGGCCTTTTCCTTTTTTGGAGAGGTGTTCGGGTCAGGGTGTCGGGTATCGGGTTTAGGGTTCAGCCCTCCGAGACTCCACATGATGGGTTCAACTGGGATGATCTTGCGACTTCATGGACGCTTCAAGTCTTGGCCTCCAGGCCATTGCAGCTTTAAGAGCTAGGACCTACTAGGATGTTTTGAAGCACTGAGCCTGTATCAAATCCCAAGGAGTGTGCAAGAACGGGCAGGAGCATCACGGTTTGGGGTTTGAACGTCCTAGACTTCAAGGTGGCTTTCTTCACCACTAGAATCACTAGAGGTTTGGGAAGGAAGCGGGTCAACTGTGGATCTTGGCACCAATCCACACAGTCCTGACAAGCAGGGCACATCAGCGTAGCATTCGTGGGCACAGCCTTGAGGCACCCTGAGCCGTGAAACTTAGGGTTGGTGCGAGACATCTTGACACTCCAGGAAGCACTCTTGCCTTCTCCACGTCCTCCTTGACAAACTTGACCTGTGAGAAAGTCTTTAGGGAAGAGACCGCTCTTAGCCCCGATGATGTGCAATTGTAAGTCTAGTTACCGTATAATCATAGTTACTAAGTCCCATGAACCTTTAAGTTACAAGACTAAACGAACCCTGAGGTCCGAGAACGGTGCGGGATCCTATTGCTGGAGCGGTGGACAACCGTGCTTGTCTCGTTCTTTCCACAATCCTTTTTGGTGTGTGTGTGTGTGTGTGTGTATTTTGGGTGGAATCATGCTCTCGCCACGGTCCCGTGCTCTTTTTGCCTTCCAAACGCTCGAAGTCCCACAAAGACGCCACGAAATCCCTCCGTCTAAACGGGTTTAGGGATTTGGCGAAAATCCCGCCACTTTGCCGTGCATCTTTTGGGGTTCTCGCCAGTCCCACACACACGTCGCGTTCAAGGCGGGGTTTACACTGGAATAGTTCGGCCTCTTGTTGGAGATCTTCAGCTTTGGAACACCCCTCCATGTTTCAAGGCCCTATTAATACCCTATGAATACCCGATTAATACCCTATTCTCTTCAGAGGGTTTCGGATCGAGCCGTGCCCTAGCATTGCCGGAGCCCCAGTGGGTGTATCCCCACGGCTAAAGCTGGTAGGCTCAGCCCTACCTGGCACCGGGCGCTGAGAAGGCGTCGACAGCGGGCTCGGCGTAGAATCTGGCGCCATAGAGCCGAACTTGCTCCTCCGTGGAAGCGAGATATCTTCTTGCTTCAACAACATCATACACTGCCAAGGTATAAGGAGGGCTGCCGGCTTATGGGCCGCTCTCAGTATCCCAAGCAGGAAGGATGGGAGGACTCGTCCCAGGACAAGTCGCAGGACTGGTGGGACAAAAGCAAGGGCAAAGGAAGCAAAGGAAATGGGCGCAAGGATTGGTCCTTGTGGCGTGGATCGTGGGGCTCTCCGGGTGCCAATGCCAAGGCCAAGGCCGCAACTGGCAAAGGCAAGAGCCGCTACGACCAGATCGAGCTCCGCGAAGAGCAGACACCGGTGCAGCCCAAGCCTTTGGAGCTTGCACCAGCCAGCCAGAAAACCGGTCGCCTTGATGCAAGCCATCCAGAAGAACCTCACCTTATCTCGCAAGGCCGACAACCGCATGAGAAAACTGCGAGACGAGCGTGCCATGCGAGAAAGGAAGTGGCAGCAGTGGGCCGCCGACCAGCGCAGTGCCTTTTACGAGCAGAAGAAGGAGTTCGAGGAGGATCTTCGCAAGCTCGATCAGGACATGGACAGTGCTGCGAAGCAAGGGCGCGAGGCTGCGGACCAGGTGGCCACCTTGGTGGCCCATGGCCTTCCTGCAGAACCGACGGTTCAGCCAGACATGGAGGACGACAGCTGGGAGAAGCTTTTGGCGGAACCGGCGGACGAGGAGGTCAGCAATGGTTTCTACAAAGAGAGGCCTTGGCAGCCACACAACGGCTGGGATCTGTTGGTACCACTGCACCGACAGTGCAGATCCGCCCCGAAATCCTACAGCAGCTGCTTCTTGGGTGTGGCATGCAGCCTGGTGTGGCCGGAGTGACGAATGGTCAACTTGGAACTTTTCCACAAATCCCTGCCTACACATACAATGGCGAAGACAGTGGGGGCCTTTTACCTCCTGGAGACCGAGCAGGTCCCGCCAGGGCTTGCTGGGATGGAAGGACGACCAGACAGATGCGAATGGGCCGCAGGCCAGCGTCCCGGGGGAAGGGAGCCGGGCCGTGGCCTCGCCCTCGCATCCGGGCCAAAGAGATCCGGGACAAGTCAGGGTCCCCACTTCGCTGGAGCCACCCAGACAGGACATCAAGACAGCCACACGTGCAGCTGCACCGCCGACTCCACCCCCTACAGGGCCCAGCCTGAGTGCGAAATTGGAGGCCCGCAGGGATCAGGAACGTCGGGCTTTGCAGCCTTTCGGTGGAGGGACATCAGCAGATGTTCGGCAGACCCGACCTGTCCGTTTCGAGGAAGACGACCCAGACCCGGACAAGACAGCAGCGGACCTCGACCGTTTAGGGTAGTGAATGTGCAGGGGTCGTCGGCTTTCCCTTGTTCTGCCAGTGAGACGTGCAGGCTGGTGCCCGGGTCTTTTGCAGCACTTTGGGTGTGCTGCATCAGCCAAGCTGCACCCTGGTCAATGCATGTTTTACGGGCGGGACGATTTAGCCTTCGGATCCCTCTCGTCTCACCTCTTTGTGTACAGATGCCTTAGGCTGTTTCCTCCTCAGCCTCGGACACCTGTTGGACCTGTTGATCTTGGCCTTGCAGGTCGGGATGACTTGGATAGTCCTTGGGTTTTGGACTTATCTTTGGTCACCCAGGCTGCTTCCTTTGCTGACTGGTGCTCGGTCTTCTTTGGACCCTGGACTGGTTCAGCCCTGTCTCAGACAAGCCCTTCTCTTCCTCCTCTTCCTGGGATTCAGGGCCTTGCCTTCTTTTGTTCTTCCTCAATTTTGGAAAGTGCGCCCAAAACTCGCATCGGTGGCTCTGGGGCGAGTGCCTTTCATGAGGGAGTTCAGCCCGTGGGTGCTGCCTGTTGTGCTCCACATGGGTGCGTCGATTTCTCTTTTGTGAGTGGTATCGAGGTACGGGAGCCTGCCCGGCCTCAGAATTCTGCGTTCCCTGTGTCCCCATGTGGCCCTGTGGATTTGCTGTGGAGTCGCGTCCTGGCCCTTTTGGAAGTCCGGATTGTGTCATTCTTCCGAACAGTATGGATGCTTTTTGGGTTCATACTGTTCAAAGTTTTGTTCATGAGTGTGAGGATGCGTTGGCTTCCAGGTGGTAGAGTTGTCCGGAACCTACTACGGGATGTTGATACTTCGTTCCTTCAACCACTCGATGCTCTGACAGGCCGACGCTCAGTCTCGGGCGGCTTACCCAGGTGCAGCTTGAAAGGTTGCAAAGGACAGTCGCGCAGGAAGATTCCTAGCAAACGTTTCGGCACTGTACCTTACCTTTTAAGCCTTTTGGGTTTAGCCTCCCTGCCTGTCCCGGTTGAAGCATCACTTGGGTTTAGGGGTTTATGGCTTCTGCCAGCTGGGGGTCTCGCGATGGGCCGGCCACCAAGGCCGGATGAGCCCCCAGGACAACACCCTGGCGTCCGCAGACCTGAGGAGGTCCTTCCAGAGGACCTTGTTATGCACACAGGGGTATGCCATTGCCCTTTGCCATGGGATAGAGGAGTACCTCGTAGCTTGCCCGAAGATGTGGATCCCACGCCTCTTCCACGCCCAGAGCCCGCTACTGAGGATGAGGCTCATGACTGGTTGGGGGTGTATGTGTATACACCGCACTACCGCCCTGTGACGTTTGCCATCCGACCACCGCAACGCGACGCAGCCACGGTTCTCAGGCTTGTCCGCCAACACGCCTTGGGAGTTCCGGACGGTCTTTTCGACACGGTAGTCCCTTTATTCCCTCAAAGGTTTGATGCGTTTGCCTCCTTTATCAGGTTTCCGAGTGTGATCACCGGTTGTGGTGATGTAGGCTCTGCGGCTATCGTTTTGGACCTCTCTCGTGTTGGGGGACGGTTCTTCCCGACGGTTTTGCCCCGCAGGCTCTCATTTCAGGCGCTTGTGGATTATGTCACGCCGCTCACGTGGCAGGACGATCAACCTTTGATCTTCTACGTTGGATGCAGGGCCACTCCATGGCCTCCTCAGACGGAGGTGCAGTTAGGGGACGGTGACGTCGTCACTTTTGTCAGAAACCCTGAAGCCAAGTTTGCTAGGCTGTGGTTTGAGGCCTGTTCACTCCAGATGCGGTCTGGGCCCCCCTTCATCATGCACCTCGTCTTGAGACGTCGGAAGGCATTTGTGTTCTCTTCCGGGAACAGCGCTTCTGCTTCTTGCATCACCACCATCCAGGTGGATTGACAGCAGCGGCCGTCGTGAGCCGTTTGGGGTTGAGCCCTGGGGCAGTGCCTTTCCGGTGGACGATTTGGAGGTTCATGGCGAGCATTGTCCCTTTGTGCTTGCCGTGGCTGAGGTCCTTGCACCAGGCACAGGTCGTGTGTCCAGGGCCGAGGCCAGGGACGTCTTTCTGTTGCTGGACTTCCGGCCATTGGGGCTGAAACCCAGGTTTGTCCACTCCCATTACCCAGCTCTGCATGTTCCCAGCATCTTGGCAAGGTTTGATGTGACGTTGCCTCCAGCCTTCCAAGTCGCGGTTGTTGGAGGGCAACGCCGGGGAGAGGATGTCTACGTGGAGTCCAGCCAAAGGCTCCTTTTCTATGCAGAGCCAGCAGGCACGGCGAACCTTGTGGAGGAAGCCTCCTCTCCGGAACAGGCTTCCCCTTCAGAGGCGGGGCCACCCGCGGACAACGATGCACAGTTTGCCTTGCCAGTGGTGCGTCCCAGTCAGGCTCCAGCCAGGCAGCCTTTAGAGGTTGGGGACTGATTTTGTCCGTCGCGGGAGCCGTCAACCCCCCCTTCTGTTAGGGGAAACCGTGCATAGCGGCTACGGTGTTGCTTGGGCACACAGCACTACTGTGATAGCGGGCTCAGATCTGCCGGATCCAATGGCCAGGTCGCATGTGTCCCCCAGTGTTTTGACACCAGCCATGACCGGTGTTACTCCTGAGGGCGCTGAAGTCTCAGGTGTTGGTTTAGATGCCCTTTCTGATCAGCCCAGCAGTTTGATGTTTCCTTGTTCCTCCACAGCTACAACAGGAGGCGAGCTGGAGCAGATATTGATTGAGGTGCTGGTCTATGTGCCACATTTCTTGCCTGAGTCGTACACGTTACGGATTGACTTCCCTTGTGGTATTGAGCAGTTACGCCTTCAACTGCAGGCCGCGCGCGTACCGGATCGGCATCTTTTCAGCCCTTGCCTTTACCCGGCGTCTCCCCAGCCGTACAGGGAACATGCCCTGTTCGTTGCTTTTCCGGCATGGCTTCAAGACCGCGCCGTCATCCTTTGTGACACCCGAAGGGTGAATGATAGGCTGCAGGCCCTGTATGTCTGGCGACAATTGTCTGTCTCTTCGCTGCTCCGAGCCGCAGGGCTGGACCCAGCTGAAGCTTTTCAGGTATTTGTGCACGGACTCGCTACCCCAGCCTCTGCCCAGCACTTGCTTACCTTTGCCCCAGGTATGACAGTGACGGTCTTGCCCGCAGACCTTGGTGCGCCTGCTGGCACCATGCTGGCGGACAATCTGCAAAGTACATTCGGCTGGGACCGACAGGCTCCGGTTCAGGGTCCGCCGGTACTTTCGTTCCACAGTTACCTTCTTTTGACGGATGGCATGCCCCAGGTGCATGTGGCGGATTCCACGCGTCGGGGATTCTTCAGTCAAGACCTTGCGCTCATGTTAGGCATGACGCCCGGTGTACCATGCATTAGAGCAGCCAAGCCACGGCCGGCTGACGTTTTCATGGATGGCATACCCATTGCCAACATCCAGTGCCCAAGGCCAGTGGATCTTTGCTTACAGCCCGCAATCGCGGTCGTTCTCCCCGGCCTACAGTGGCACCTGGATTTGTGTCTGTGGCTGAACATTCAACGAAGGAGACTTTGACTCAGGACTTGTGGGAGGGGCCACTTCAAGCCCTTAGTGTTTGTTCCCAAGGCCAGGCCTGGCAAGGTCGAGTAATTAGTCAAGTGTTGCCACACCTACCACCAAGTCGCCTTTGCTGAAGGCAGGGTGTGGGATACCTCTGTCCTCCCGATGCCATGGACTGTTTTGGATGCCTGTTTCCCACCCACCGCCAAGCTGCTTCAAGAACCTCCTGGTAGTAGCGGTGCTGCCCGAGCAGCCCTACATGATGCATGTAGGGGTACCTACATGCTTGGCATTCCTTGGCCACTCGCTCCACAGAGGTGGCCACACCAAGAGCTTGGAGTAGAGTCAGATAGTGCAGACGATTCGGAGGGCAGTGTCCTTATGGATGTCACTTTCTGTCTGCTCACCCCTGATTATGCTCCGGAGCTGCTGCAACTGCACTTACGCATTCCAGAAAGCGTTGAAGAGGCCATGGACCTGGTGGATTTGTGTCGGGCCAGAGACCGCAGGGAGTTCCTGCCTCGACTTGTGCCTGTCAGTCCTCAACCGGACCCGAGTTGGGGCTTTGTGTTGGCTCTACCCTCTTGGGCCGAAGACCGTGTTGTTGTCTGCCTTGCTCTGCATGCTGTGGATGGCAGGACCTTTGCAGTGTCCGCCCCCCCCACTGCGGACAGATTTGTGCTTCTGGGACTTGCCGGTCTGAGCCCCTTTGCGGACCTGGCCATTTTCTGTCCTCAGGATCCTTTCCAGTAGCGGAGGGGGCCGAAGTTCCGCTCGTTTGTGGCATGTGCATCATTTTCGTTCCGGGTGGCACCAGGCCCGCGCATACTACAACATTGGGTGCCATGCTGGCGTCGCATTTGGCCTGGGACACCGCTGATCCCTTTTCTCAGATAGAAGTCGCAGACCGGTACTGTGTAGTGTCGGACTCAGGCCACCAGGTATTTGCCCTTCGGCCTGAGCGGGCTGCCTTCTATCGAGCAGACTTAGCCGTGGCCCTAGGTTTTGAACGGGTACGCACCGTTGTCAGTCTCGCCTCGTATCCGGTTGCCCTTTTGGATTGTCGACCAATTCTTGCGGGCTGGACCTTGATGCACGTCCCTCATGGTTGGGTTGACCTTGGCTCCCTACGGGCGATTCTGGATGAAGCAGCACCAACAGGGTGGCATGCCGTCATCGAAGGTAGTCAAGAGCATTGGCAGTGGCTGTGGGTTGACCCTGGTCAGGTTGTGACTGCGTACCTTGTCGCTGATGGGGCACCTGCCCTGATGCCTTCCCTCTCCGACACTGGTTCAGACTCAGACAGCTCTACCTCGCAGACACCCCGCAACCCTGAGGCGCAGCCAGTTGCCAGCGCTATGCCCCAGAGTTCACATCCTGGTCGACCATCCTCAGGACGACATGCAGACATGCGCACAGCGTCAGCTGCGTCTGATGGCCCCAGGCCGGGCGCGAGCTTGGTCCTGGATGTGTGGTGGGGCGCCTTTTAGTTGATTGGATGTCTAGTGCTTTTCAGTACTTTCTTCGTCAAGCTGGTTTGGCCGGCGCCGCATGAACGGCGGCCGGATGCACCTTCGCTTGCAGATTGTGTGCTCAGCTTGTGTTGCTTGCGACTTCTTGTCAGCTCTTCCAGCAGACCTGGCGAGCGCATCTTTCTTGTTAGTGTGCTGTGGCTTGCCGGCAACACTCAAAGGGTCTATGCGGGGCCTGTTACGCTCTTTCCTGACACTTTAGGCAACCAGGAGGTTGCTAACTTGTTAGGCGGACTGACAAGGGCGGACACATCTGCGACAGTTGCAGGGGTCACCGATGCAGACCATCCTGCTTGATGAACGCCTTCGAGGGTCTTGTGGAGGCACCGCACATGGGCCTTTTTCTAGACCCATCCCCACGCCTGCTCGGGCTCGAGCCCGTCAGGGGCCACTCGTGGAAATTGATGGCATTGTGGGGCCCACTTTGCTGGAACAATGCCTTCAAGATCCGGAGTGCACGGCCTTCTTCGATGCATGGACCTTGTTGGAGGTCCTCCGTGAGCACGGTGCGTCTACTGCTCCTAAACATGCGGTGCCTGTGGATTTGCATGCTGCTGTTCCTCCGACGCAGTTCCAGGCCCAGGCCATGGCCCTTCAGGCTATCATACCCCCTCCTGCCCTCCGGCCATCCCCTGCCGTGCTCGAGGGAGACTGGCTTGATGCAGACCTTCAGCCCCTGCTTCGAGATCGGCACGTGCCGCCCAAGTGGAAGGATCAGTTTCGCACCATTGACCTCTGGCACAAGTGTCCGGACTGGGACGGGCTTTGCCAGCTCGAAATTTATACTGATGGCTCTGCGGATAGTCCGGCAGCGGTGAATGCAGACATTCGTCCGGCTGCCTGGGCCTTTTCTGTTTGGGCTCGTACGCCCGCCCGATTTGCTTTGTTAGGTTTCAGTGCCTATGCAGCAGCACCACCACACACGCCCTTCTGACTTGGTGAAGTTGAAGACACCCCTTTGGTCGCAGAGCTTTTGGCGTTGGGGTGGGCCATGACGTGGGCACTGGAGTTTGCACCGCACCTCCAGGTCCCGGCCCTGTTTTGCTATGACGCCCAGGCCGCAGGAGCAGGGGTCTTTGCAGCTGCCAGCACGCCCCGTGTTGCTAGTGATGACTCTGGTCCAGCTTTGAGTGACGTAGTCAGCCTGTTCCGCCAAGCCCTGTCGGCGCGTCTGGCTATCGGCCATTGTCATGTTTCTGCGCACTCGGGTTTGCTCCCAAACGAACTTGTCGACCAGCTGTCCAAGAAGGCCAGACGAGATGGCAGTCCAGTCTATGAGCGCATGCTGCCTGCGTGGCCCAGTCAATGGGCCCGACATCCCTTGAGGCGTTGGGGTTGGTTGGCGCACCACAGTAGCCCTTGCCTACCGGCGCTGCCCGCCCTCCAGTCTGATGCGCACCGCCTCCAAAGCCTTCAGCCTTGTATCGTTCCTCCGGAACGTGGTGTCCAGCAGGTCAAGCATAGGGAGGCGGAGGTTTCTTATGATGTCACCTGGGTCTCTTTTAATGTCCTTTCGCTGTTTGATGCCCATGTTCCGCATGGCCGCCAGTTGCGGGCACAACACGCTGGCATGATGATAGCGGGCAAAAGAGACATTCTGACGGCCCAGTTCCTCCACCGCAAGGTTTGGGCAGTTGGCCTGCAGGAGACAAGACTCCCCACCACGGAGGACATGCCAGATCGCCACTTCTTGATGTTCAACTCTGCCGCCACTCAGGAAGGGGCCTATGGCTGCTCCCTCTGGCTGAACCTGCAGGTCCCTTACGCCCGTGTGGCGGAGCTTTACATTGAGCGCCGACATGTGACTGTTGTAGGGCAGTCGGCTAGACACCTGCTGGTCCAGATTGAGGCTCCCAGACTCAATCTTACCCTTTTGGTTGCGCATGGCCCCCGTTCTGCCAAAGACCCAACTGCGCCTGAGAGCTACTGGGCGGCTCGGCTCCTGGAGGTTTCCAGGAGGCCACAAGGGTCCGACTTGGTTGTCTTGACAGATTCCAACGCGCACCTTGGGTCTGTGGTCACGGAGGCCGTCGGACCGCTAGACCCTGATTAGGAGAACGCGGCAGGCGAGGCTTTTCACTCATTCCTCCTCCAGGTTGGGTGTTTCTTGCCTGCGACTTTCGGGTCACACCACTCAGGCCCCTCGCATACTTGGGTTGGACCTGGGCCTCAGCCTGTGCGGTACCGCCTGGATTTTGTGGCGGTCGATGCGTTCGAGGCCATGCAGGCAAGACAGGACCATTTCCCAGTGACTTTGAGGACACAGTTTTGTCGTCTCCAGCCTGCTGCCTCATACCAGGCCAGTAGGCGTCGTGCCTGTCGACCTCCTGTGCAGCCCGACAAGGCGGATCAACAGCGATTTATCCACGCCTTGCAGCATTCTCCACCTTTGACCTGGCAACTACCGATCGACCATCACTTCGATGGAGTCGCAGATGCTTTGCTGGCAGCGGGTCGTCAGCACCAACTGCGGCCTGTCGAGGCCCCGCAAAAGGCTTACCTTAGCCCCTCCACTCTGCGAGTGGTGCAGCATGGCGAGCTGTGCGTGCTTATTTGCGTCAGGAGGAAGCGGAACTTTCCCGCAGACGTCTCCTCATTGGGTTTGCTGCGTTCCGGTTGGTCAGGGCTGGTCGTGTTTTCCACCCTGTGGCTCTCCGACAGGCCAGCCGCTGGCTTTGGGAGATGGATGTCAGCATTGCCCGTGCTTTGGACATGCTCTCCTGGCTCACGGCCTCTGTCCGCACGGCCGTCCGCCGTGATCGCAATAGGTGCTTAGAGGGTTGGTGGCTCAGATCTCCCTCTCCGACCTACGACAGCCTCGAGAGCTGTATGCCGCGGTTCGGAAAGCCTTTCCGGCAGCCCGGTTCTGCCTACCAGCCTCTTCCTGGAGGACAGGTGGACCTCCTACTTCGCAGAGCAGGAAGCCGGTCGGCTAATTCAACTAGCCGACTATGAGAAGGAATTTAGTGCCTCGGACTTTCACCCCAGCTTGGGGGGCCCTCATTTTGATGTGGAAGCTCTGCCGAGTTTGCTGGAGGTGGAGCAACAGGTCCTCTCGTTGCCTTACCGCAAGGCTGCTGGACCGGATGGCGTAACAGGAGAGTTGCTGAGGTACAGCCCTGCCTTTGTCTCTCAGTGGGTTTTTCCTTTGTATCTGAAGTCGGCCATGGCTCTCCAAGAGCCCGCCTTGTGGCGAGGTGGGCACCTTATGTGCCTTGCCAAACGAGCGACTGGCCTTTTTGATTGCTCCTCCTTCCGGTCAATTCTGTTGGCCAGTGTTCCGGGCAAGGTGTTTCACCGCATCATGCGCAACAACGCCAGGGTTAAAGCCGACCTGCAAGCAGGCCAGCTCCCAGGCGTTGGGGTCGAGGGCATTTCCCTCGCTGTCAAGTCTTACTTGGCATGGGCCAGGAGTTCGGGCTATGGTACTGCAGACGTGTTTTTCGATGTTAAATCGGCCTTTTATATGCTGATTCGTCAAGCTTTGGTTCCGGTACAAGCAGCTGAGCGCAATCTTGTTTCCCTCTTCCACCAGCTTGGGGTTCCGGGAAGTGCGGTGACTGAACTTGCACATCATTTGCACTCTGCCGCGCATGTTGTGGAGGCGGGTGCGACGGCCCACCTTACTGCGATCGTGTCAGACATGATGCGTGGGACATGGTTCAGACTTGACGGGGCGGCTGCTCTCGTTCTTACGGAGCGAGGCAGCCGCCCCGGTGACCCACTGGCAGATCTGTTGTTTGCCTTCACTTTCTCCGCATATGTGCGCAGTGCGGAGACTGCTCTGGAAGGACGACAGCTCAGTCCTGTTGTTCCACGTGTAGATGTCGCCCCGCCGTGGGCTGCCTGGGAGCCATGTGACTGCATAGGTACGGCTGCCTGGGCAGACGATTTTGTACTGCTTCAAGCTTGCCACATGCGACAGGCCCTGAGCGGACAGGTCCAGCAGGCGACCCAGGTAATGGCCGAACACGCCACGGCCATGGGGATGATCTTGACCTTTGCCAAGGAGAAAACGGCTGTGTTGTTTGATCAGGACTGTGAGCCCACTGGTGTTGTCAAGGATGCCTTGGGAGACGCTTGTCTTGAGGTTCACAACAGCATTTTGGGGGTCACGGAGTTCTTGCCCATTGTTGATTCCTATCGTCATTTGGGTAGCATCATCACAGCCAGCCACACTCCGATGGTAGACATCCCTTTCCGCAAGTCTCACGCGGATGCTGTCTTCAAGCCATTGAAGAACAGGCTTTTCTCTTCGGAGCGCGTGCCTCTCGCTATCCGCCGCACTCTGTTGCGCTCTTTGGTCCTCTCAAGGTTTGTCTTCGCCGGTGCGGTGCTTTTTCTGCATGCACACCAGCACCGCAGGCAGTGGTGCAGGCACTACGTCAATCTGTGGGGAGGATTATCCAAACGCACCTCGGCGGATCGTTCCCCCCACAGCTACGATGTTTTGCATCGGGCCAGAGCTCCGTCTCCCCTCTTGGCCTTGGCAATGATGCGTGCAGTTCAGCTCAAGCGCATGTTGCAACACGGCCCTGCCCAGCTTCTGCACATCTTGCATGCTCACTGGTGCTTGTGTCCCAGCCGGTCTTGGTTGGGCCATTTCTGCGATGATATGCAAGCGGTGTCTGCCTATTGTCCGGCCGCAGCCACCTTGCTTTTGCAGGGCTGTCCCTTGACGGCGCTGGTCGAGGCCGTTCAAGATAAGCCTAACTGGTGGGTACTGCAGGTGCGTCAGGCGTGCAAGGGCTACCAAGCCGACCTTGAGAAATGGGTTTTGGCGGGACGTCCTTCTGTTGACAGTGTGGAGGTGCCGGAGGCGCCTCGTCCCTTCCAGTGCAGGGTTTGTACTGCCGCGTTCCGCCTGCACAAGCACCAAGCTGTTCATGAGGCCCGAGCCCACGGGCTCATTAGTGTGGCACGTCGACTTGCTCACACACCGACGTGCCAGGCTTGCATGAAGTTCTACCACACGGTGGAACGTCTCCAGGGCCATTTGAAACATTCTCCTACCTGCATGTTGCGCACCGTACATGTTTTGCCCCTGCTGACGGCCCAGCAGGTGACGGACATTGAACGTGAGGACAAGGCTTGGAGACGTGCAGTCCGCAAGGGCCACTGGAAGCGCTTCACAGCGGCCCGTCCTGTTCTACCGGTACAGGGACCCCGGCTTCCCCTGTACGCCGACAGGTTTTTGGACTTGCCTGATGAAGAGGTCACCCTGGACCTCTTTCGCTCCTACCGCCCCTCTCCGGACAGCGTCCGGCTCGTCCTGGATATCACAGAGTCAGTCTCGGTTGAAGGTCCACGGGTGTCCGGTCTGGATTTCTGGCTGAGGACGCCCCGTAGTTGAGCGGTCTGTTTCACTCTTGCAAGTTTTGGGACGCGCCTCTTTAGGCACGACAGTCCGCGAATCAGAATCATATTCTCTTCAGCCCCTAACCCTGGAGGAAGCCATTATGCGGCTGCCGCTGGCCGGAGCCCGGCTCATTGCATACTCCACTCCGGAACATCTCAAGCACGAGCATGAAACCCACCCATGGAAGAATTGCTAGAAATAGTCCTCCATAGAGTTCCCCAATGAGCTCTTATTGCATAAGTCCGAAAAACCCATGTCTACTTGTTCAGGCCGCTACAGTGTCATACGAACCGCCCGACGATCACTTGCATCACCCGGAAAGCTGGATGAGCCCTGAAGGCCTCTTACGGTTTCGAGCTTTAGGGCTGATACCCAGAGACTCCCATATCGCATAATTAGGGAATATACCTAAACTCATCTTTGGGATCCTGCTATAGAATTTGAAGTATCTTCCATATTAAGTGAAAATAGAATCTCTTGGTAGTATGGCTCAGGGTTGAGCAAACCCCTGTAAACAAGCAGTCGTCTGCAAATTCCATTACCAGAAAACACAGCAAACCCTGTCAAACCTTATAGCCTGTGGATGCTTCAGGGTTTAGGGACCCCTTCATAGCAACCATTTGTACAAGTAAGCTTATAGGGTACTTAGCGTTCTCAGGGTATTCGGTTCTCTTTGGGGGCCTCCTTGAAGCTCACAGCAGGAACAGCGGCCACATGGCGGCACGCCAGGAGGGTGGACCTGGCTGCATCGGGCTGTGGGATTCAACAATGTACTTAAAGGATCATGGGACTTAGTAAGTAGGGTTATAAGTAAAGTAACTACAGTTATAAATACTTATAACCCCAATTAAGATACGTATAACCCCCACTTACTAAGTCCCATGACCCTCAAAGTATATTTGAAGAGGCTGATGATTCTAGGGCTTTAGGGCTTCGAGGTTTGGACTTTGTCAGGTTTTTGGGTTTCAAACCCGAGAGGCCCTACGAGGACACGGCCGCCTGAATAGTTGAAGCCTTGATATAGCCATTATATTATTATATACCCCTTATAAATCTCTTTTTGATCCCTTATAGATCCCTTATAGGTCCCTTATAAAGCCCATGATAGATCCCTTATAGGATTCCTTGTAAATCCCTTATAAAGCACATGATAAGGTACCCATTATATGGCCCATAAAAGGGTAGGGGTCCCCTGTAAGGGCCCCTCCTTTTCGATGCTGACTCGCAACTCCACGCAAGCTCCGAATCCCAGCACATTCAAAGCGGGCCTTTGGCGAGGCTACTTAAAGGTTCATGGGACTTAGTAACTATGGTTATAAACAAGGTAACTATACTTATAACCTATAATTGGATAAAACCCCACTTGGGGTACTTACAACTGGACTGACTAAGTCCCATGGACCCCCAAGTACAACTCCAAAGTCGCATTCCCAGTCCCGGGCTTCAAGAGATGGCCTTTGCCCAAAGGCCCTCTTTCCCAAGGTGGAGAGCATCGCAGAAAAGGACCTGAAGGGGGTAGTTTGTGCTTGGAGTTTGCAAAAGCCTTCGGGAGTTTCATTTGGCCTTAATAATTCGAAGAGGGTTTTGGGGGCCATTATACTATTTATGATTATCATAATGGAACCCCCCCGAAATAGTATAGGTACTTACTTAGGCCCCTACAGTTTTTCGGCGAGCGCTCTGCTAAACTGGAAGGCTCCCGAGTCCCCAGCACGGCCGACAAGCACGGCACGGGGCAGGCCGGGATCGTGGGGGTGGCCGACTGAGCCAGGCAGAGACGACAAGAAACTTGCCTTGAGTTTGATAGTAATAATAATAATAGGAATAATAATATTAACAATAATAGTAATTATGACAGCAACAAAAAAAAGGTAATAACAATAATAATAGTTAAAAGGCGACTGAGGGCTTTTGAGGGGGCTTTAGGAGGAATGGTTCCTTTGCCGCTCTTCGGCAACTGCGAGCGAGCAAACTCGAGAAGGGGGCTGTTGCGAAGTCAACTCAAAAGCTGAAGGTGTCTATTCGAAGGCGAGGGGCAGTGCACCTCTTCGAACCTCCTAGTAAGGGCTTCTCTGTCGCGCACATGGACAAGAAATCATGAGAGGCTCCTGGAGTTCCCTATGAAGTGTCTCGGTTGCCGAGCATGTAGAATGACCAATGCTTCTGACAAATTCCTGAAAACTGCAGCCAGATGGACCCTCGAAGACTGAGAGAAGTGGACCCGAAAGGCCCCAAAGCCTACACCCGAAAGCCTAAGGCCAAAGCCCAGAATCCAAGAGAGGCCGCTTCTTTTGGTCCGGCTCTCTGCTGGACTCCGGGCACTCCGGATATAGGTCAAAGGCTCATCTCCTCGAAGCTTCCGTGCGATCTAACCCGCGACATCGAAGCCTCTGTAACTTGGGAGGGTATCATAAGGGCACTGGTACTTTAGGAGTACCAGAGCGGTCGGATAAGTATGAGAGTACTATGCCAGTATCATACCTCAAAGATTCAAGGTTTGCTGCTTATGCTTCGGGGGTTCGGGGTTGACGTGCGGTAGCTGGATTGAAGAACTCAGGGATGGTAGACCCAAGGTTTTCAATCCATGAACACCAAAAGCTCTCGTATCCCATGCAGAACCGTTGTGTTTCTGAATACTTGGGGGAGGATTCCAAGATTCATGGCATTGTAGCTCTCATAGTAGGCCTCATGGTACCCCGTGCAGCAGCCTGATGCCAGTACCCTTCTAGTACCCTGAGTTAAGCATCCCCCGAATCTTCTGAAACTCCAACATCCCTTAATTACGGAATATACCTTAAAGCGTATTGGGGATCCTACTATATTTTAAAGTATATTCCTCAGACTTTCCGAAACTCCAAAACTGGAAACCCCCGGCAAAGGCTCAGAGGAGTGGTCTTCGAAGGTCTTCCCCGGCACGCTGCCGGAGGAAGAGACGCGTTTCGGCTACTACGAAAGGGTACTAGGAAAGGGTGGCTACCGTATAAGAGGTCTCTTACTATAAAGGGTATGCAAGGGGTGCCGAAAGGGTTACTCTAGAGGCTGCTAGAAGGCGAGTATCAAGGTACTGTAAGCGCTAGTATCAGAGAGCCGAGAGGATCTCGGCGTTCGAGGGCAGGGCTTCCGAGGCGCGCAGCGTCGGCTGCGATCGGACTGAGACGAAGGCACATACTCAGCCGCGCTTCATCTGACTGCTCTGACATTCAAGACCTTTAAATTTCCTGAGAGCCCAAAAGCTGTCTAAGTTGTGTGAGATGGTGCGGCTCGAGCACCTAGTGCACCACAGGCTTCAGAGGTGCGGCTCTAATGTTCCTGGCACACGGGACTCAGGAGAACGAGGCTCTCAAGCAAACAAGGGCCGTGGGGGCTCCCGCCGGGGATCTCTTGTAAGCAATCCTAGAACTTTTCCATCCTTCATGGATCCCCTGAGGGAGTGGAGTCAAAACTCCAACAGTAGGGCGAGGAGCCGTCGGTGAGTCGCGAGAGCTACGAGATCCACGGCTAGCCTTACCCTCGTAAGAATGGTGTCGACCGGCAACGCCTTCTTAGTATCGCGAACACGAGTAGCGTGCAGATGATCTTCTCTGTCGCTGTTGATAACGCTCTGGAGCAAACCAACATCGGGTGTGACTCAGTCATTCGTTGAAAGCAAACTGCATCCAGAAACGGAACACAAAGCCAGGTAAACACGACGGCCGTACGAAAGGTCGATGCGGGAGTCAATCTCCTCGTCGACTTCTCCCACGACGGCCTGAGGTCAAAGCACAGCTAACACCCCCGATTACCACAACGACTCATGCCGCTGCAGCCTGCATTACCAGCAGCGACCAGAAGTCAACGACCGCACCACACCGCACTGCGTCACACCAGAATGTCGATAATGAAAAGTAACAACACCAGCAAAGGAGTGCTCGACACGACCAAAAATTATTTGCTGCCCACGGGATTTCTATCATTGCTGTTGCGGGTCTTCGTCGTCGCTTTGGGGGAGCTGTACTTACCATCACTGTCACAGCAGCCAATCCATAAATGATAAAAGTAGTTCATGGCGGTTTTTAACCACTACGGCAACGATTGTCAGAATGATGGGAGCACGTAATGGTTCTTATGGGTATCTCCGTGGCATCGTGAAAAGATCATCGTCGTAGTAAAGTAAAGATGGTAAGGAGTTTCTGTTTCTTGCAGGATGAAAGCCAGGCGTACTCAAAGCCGATTCTGGCAACCACAGCGACGCCCTGAATCACACTGCAGTAGCAATCATCGGACGCAACTGAAAACACACAAATCACGCATGCACGAGCACACCCCGGCAACCCCGGCACGCAGTTCCCGTTTCGATGGATGCCAAAACTATGTGTGAATATCTATGTGTATGTTATGTGTATATATATATACATACATATTGTATATATGTATATATACAACCGTTGGTAATTTACAAATGTGTCAATGTGAATGCACACCTTCTGTGTCTACTGATGTAGTGTTATGTTTATTTTATACGTATATTTGTATTTGTACTTCGCTTACCCTTTTTTTTCTACTTGTCCACTGATTTCTGTACTTTATCTACTTGTTTGTTGACTTATGTACAGCGACATCCACGGATTACTCGAAAGCACGTGCCCAGGGGGATCACCAGGTTGTCTCCACGGATGACATACAATCCGAGGACGACCTCCGGGCAACTGCTTTGCAGTTTCAGGATGGGCTTTAAAGCAAGACTTTCCTGGGATCTGCAAGGCTTCCGGGTTGCAGTCTGTGGGAGTTTCAGGAACCAAAAACCTTGAAATGGAGCCGAGCAGAGCGAGATGATGATTGTGAGGAGCCCTAGATACAGAGCCCTGTAGGATCTCATCTACGACTGAGGTGCGTTTGCGAACAGACTATGGGCCTGTTGTGGCGGCTGTGGTCGTTTATGAATACCATGACTGTAGGGGGAACAGAACAAAAATATGGGGGGGACATAATATGTAATGATAGTCTTACCTTTGGTT